GATGAAATATAGAGATGTTTCTTGAGTGAAATTAGTGTGGAAGTGGAGTAGTTTTTCATCCTCTATTTTTGTGCTCTTTAGTAGTTTTTTTTTTTGCTTCTAATTCCCAACAAAAGTGGTATCAGAGCAGGTTGTTATGGCTACTATGAGTAATGTGCTTCAACCCCAATTTCTCAAATTGGGAAAAGATAACTATGAGAATTGGAGTATTCAAATCAAGGTGTTGTTACAATCGCAAGATCTTTGGGACATTGTTGAAAAAGGTTACATCGAGCCGACTACGGAGGAAGAGCAAGCGCTTAATGATGCTCAAAAGGCAGTGCTTAAGCAATCAAGGAAGACGGATAAGAAGACCTTATTTCTTCTTTACCAATGTATTGACGATAATACTTTTGAGAAGATTTCTTCCGCGACCACTTCGAAGCAAGCTTGGGAAATTTTGAAGAGTTTGCATAGAGGAATTGATAAAACAATTCGGGTTCGTCTTCAAATATTGCGAGGTGAATTTGAAAGTTTGAATATGAATGGAGCCGAGTCAATTTCGGAGTATTTTTCAAGAACTTTGGTGATTGTGAATCAAATGCGAAGGTATGGAGAAGATATTGATGACGTTCGTGTTATTGAAAAAAATACTACGAAACTTAACTCCAAAATTTGAGCATGTTGTTGTAGCCATTGAGCAGTCCATGGATTTCAAGACTACAAGTGTTGATGAATTGATGGCGACATTGGAAATACATGAGCAGCGTATTAATAAAAAGACTCCAAATTCTCTTGAACAAGCTCTTCAATCCAAGTTTTATTTGAAAGATGAAAACAGAGAATTTCAAGGTGGTACATCTCAAAGAGAAAGAGGTAATGGAACACGAGGTAAAGGTTATGACAATCGAGGAAGAGGCTACGAAGGTCGTGGAAGAAGCTACGCTAATAGAGGAAGAGGTGGAAGAGGTCAATTTACTAATGATACAAGAAATCAAAATTTTTATGGTTCGAGAGGAAGAGGACGAGGAAGAGCAAGAGGTAATTACAACAATCAAAGTTTTGACCAGAGAAATGTTGAATGCTTCAATTGTCACAAGTTTGGGCATTATAGTAATGAATGTTGGGCAAGTAAAAATGTTGAAGAACATGTGAATTATGCTGAGAAATCAAGTAATAAAGCGGGATTTACTTTGTTGCTGGCCTATGATGGATCTGAGGAAGATAATGGCAACGTGTGGTTTCTTGATTCCGGGGCAAGCAACCATATGTGTGGCCAGATGCATATGTTCGTAGAACTTGATGAAGTGGCGCAAGGCAAAGTTACTTTTGGCGACTCCTCCAACATTCCAGTGAAAGGCAAAGGTAAAATTCTTATTAAGCTCAAGGATGGCAATCGTGATTTTATTTCGGATGTCTATTATGTGCCGGATATGAAGAATAGCATTTTGAGTTTAGGGCAACTTTTAGAAAAGGGCTATGATATTAGCATGAAGAATCTCCACCTTACAATTAAAGATGCTCGTGGTAATTTGATTGCTAATGTGAAAATGTCCAAGAATAGAATGTTTCCTTTGAATATTCAACATGATGCGATGAGATGTTTGAATGCTATTATTAAAGATGATTATTGGTTGTGGCACTTGAGACTTGGACATCTTAATTTTGGTGGCTTGAAGCTTTTATCTAGCAAGAAAATGGTGAAAGGTCTACCCTACATAGATCATCCGGATGAGTTATGTGAAGGGTGTATTCTTGGCAAACATCAAAGATTAAGCTTCTCAAGAGAAGTCAAGTGGAGAGCATCACGACCATTGGAGCTTGTGCACACCGATGTTTGTGGTCCTTTGAAGCCTATGTCAAATGGTAACAATTGCTACTTTCTTACTTTTATTGATGACTATAGCCGGAAGACTTGGGTGTATTTTTTAAGAAGGAAGTCCGAAGTGTTTGAAGTTTTTAAGGAGTTCAAGAATCTTATTGAGAAGCAAAGTGGTTATTTTATCAAGAGGTTGAGATCCGATCAAGGTGGTGAGTATAGTTCCGATTTATTTGAAGACTATTGCAAGGAGCATGGAATTGTGCATCAATTCATGCCAAGCTATACACCTCAACTGAATGGAGTTGCGGAAAGAAAAAATAGAACTATTCTTGATATGGCTAGAAACATGTTGAAAGGAAAGAGATTGCCTAGAGAATTTTGGGCCGAAGCTGTAGCATGTGCAGTGTGCTTGTTGAATCGATGTCCAACCAAAAGTGTTCGTTTTAAGACTCCGGAGGAAGCTTGGTGTTCATTCAAGCCGAGTGTAGCCCATCTTAGAGTTTTTGGATGCATTGCTTATGCGAAGATTCCCGAAGCAAGGAGGACAAAACTTGATGATAAAGGTGAAAAGTGCATTTTTCTTGGGTATGGTGATAGAACAATGGGGTACAAGTTATACAACCCCATTACCAAGAAAGTAATCATGACTAGAGATGTTATCTTTGAAGAGGAAGACATGTGGGATTGGAAAGGAAAAATTTCAGCCACTGAAGTGGAACTTATGCTTGAAGAAGAAGAGTCCGAAGAACCAAGGGAAGTCCAAAGAGAGCCACAGACACCTCCACATGGATCCCCCTCATCTTCTACAGGTGAATCATCATCATCATTAGATTCAAGTTCAAGTCAAAGACCAAGGAAAATGAGAAGTTTGCAAGAGATATATGAATCTACGGAAAATTTTGAAGGTAACTTGAATTTGTTTTGTCTATTCATGGATTGTGATCCTTTATGTTTTGAAGAAGCGATTCAAGAAGAGAAATGGAGAATAACAATGGATGAAGAAATGAAAGCAATTGAAAAGAATGATACATGGACACTAGTTAGTCTTCCCCAAGGTCAAAAAGCAATTGGTGTGAAGTGGGTGTATAAAACCAAAAAGGATGCAAATGGTGAAGTCCAAAGATATAAGGCAAGGTTAGTTGCTAAAGGCTACAAGCAAAGGGTCGGAATTGATTATGACGAGGTATTTGCTCCCGTTGCTCGTTTGGAAACAATTAGGTTGATGATTTCTTTGGCGGCACAAAACAAGTGGAAGATTTATCAACTTGATGTGAAATCGGCATTCTTGAATGGATTTCTTGAAGAGGAGATTTATGTTGAACAACCTTTGGGGTATGTGAAGAAGAGACATGAAGATAAAGTGTACAAGTTGAGAAAAGCTCTCTATGGATTAAAGGAAGCACCGCGCGCATGGAATGCTAGAATTGACAAATATTTACATGAGAATGTTTTTCAAAAGTGTCCTTATGAGCATGCATTATACATGAAGATGGATGGGAATGGAAGTGTGTTACTTGTTTGTCTTTATGTTGATGACTTGATCTTCACTGGCAATGATCCAATGATTTTTGATGAATTCAAGAGAAGTATGATTAAGGAGTTTGAAATGACTGATATTGGCTTAATGTCTCATTTCCTTGGCATTGAGGTAAAGCAAAGAGAAGATGGAATTTTTATTTCTCAAAGTGGTTATGCAAAGGAAGTGCTCAAGAAGTTCAAGATGGATTCTTGCAACCCGGTGAACACGCCCGTTGAAGTTGGATTGGAATTGAGGAAGAGAATTAGTGGTGAAAATGTTGATCCAACTTACTTCAAAAGTTTAGTTGGAAGTCTTCGGTATCTTACTTGCACGAGGCCAGATATTCTTTATGGAGTTGGCTTAGTTAGTAGATACATGGAAACACCGGATCAAACTCATCTTAATGCATCAAAGAGGATTCTACGTTGTATTAGAGGTACACTCAATGATGGCTTATTTTATTCTTACACTAATGATTTTAGACTTGTTGGATATTCAGATAGTGATTGGGGACGAGATTTGGATGAAAGGAAAAGTACCTCGGGTTATTGTTTTTTCATGGGAGATACGGCTTTTACTTGGTCATCCAAGAAGCAAACAATTGTTACTTTGTCTACATGTGAAGCGGAGTATGTGGTTGCAAATTCAACAGTTTGTCATGCTATTTGGTTGAGGAACTTGTTGAATTATTTGGGATTTTCTCAAGAAATTCCCACAGAGATCCTTGTTGATAATAGATCGGCAATGGCGTTGGCAAAGAATCCGGTGTTTCATGAAATGAGTAAACACATTGATACGCGCTACCATTTTATTAGAGAGCATGTGAAAAATGAAGAAGTGAACTTGGTACATTGCAAGACTCAAGATCAAGTTGCCGACATTTTTACAAAGCCATTGAAGCATGATGTGTTTAGAAAATTGAAAATGATGCTAGGCATGAGAACTCAAGGAATTGAGTTTAAGGGGGGATGTTAGTTTTATAAACTCTATTTTTTAAGGGGTATTTTTGGGTATTGAAAAGTCATGGTATTTGAAGTGATATATGCCAGAAGTGTCCAGAATATTTTTGAGAAGTCTATTCATGTATTTGGGAGACTTATTCATGTATGGTTACATGGAAAGTTGAACAGTTTTTTCTTGGGGTAGCCAACCATAAAGTGGCCAAATTTAGAGTGTTTTGGCTAGGAAAAATCAGTATAAAAGGGGCCGGAGTTACTGCCCAAAATAGAGAGTCTCTGTGCAGAAAAATAGAGAGGAAAAAGTGAGAAAAACAGTGTGTTTGCTATCTGAAAAAAACAGCAGCTTGTTCATGAGCAGAAGCTCTATTTCTTTGTATTTTCTTGAGTGTTTACTGCTAAAAAATTCTGATAAGTTGCTCCCCATGTATTCCTTGATATTGTGATCATATTTGATGAAATATAGAGATGTTTCTTGAGTGAAATTAGTGTGGAAGTGGAGCAGTTTTTCATCCTCTATTTTTGTGCTCTTTAGTAGTTTTTTTTTTTGCTTCTAATTCCCAACAATAATCATCTATTTAGACATACAAAACTCTATATATCATCATAACTCATAATCATATATTTAGACATGTACAATATGGTTAATGACTGTCATCATCATCCCTGCTGGGTCAGGTAGTGATCGATGTGGCTATAAAGAAGTATGAAAGATAAAGAAGCAAGAAAGCAAAAAAGAGGCAGACAATAAAGAAAACCCATGATAGTAATATTAGAAAAGAGAAGGCAGGCTAGTGTAGCCTAGCATGACCACAAGGACTCCCCAAGATTGGCCTCCATGTCCATGGTAAAAAGGGACCTGGTCTGAGACTGTGTTATGTGCTTGGATGAGGGTGAGGCGTTTTCCGGCGAGTTGGTGGCTGTGGACGAGAATTGGCGCATTCTCATGTGCACCACTTCAGCTTGTGCAAGTGCCAACTGGGCTTGAAGAACGTCGATCTGTTGCTGCAGTGATGATATAGCTCCAACACAACCGTACACTGGGTCCCTCACCCGGGCATTTGCCTCGTACACCATGGAACTTACAGCGTCTCCTCGTTGGTGTTCCGGCAACTCCTGCAAGTTCCATAACCCCACAAAGCCTTAGGAACTTTGGTTTAATTAATCTCAGTGAAGTTTATGCCTATAGTTTTGGCATGACCGATGATGGTTTACCTTTTGAAATAAAACGAATATAGCCTAGATCCTTGGATTGATGGATATGGATAATTAGCATGAATTTTCGTTCAAATCAACTGCACAATAAGAATCATACGATGAACAATTGACTGCGTCGCCTATGTGAGCTTGCAAGATCTCGATAAAGTATTACATGTATGGGACACACATCCTTGACTACACGGTTTTTCATCCAAGATTTGATTTGCATTGGGATTAATGCTGACCCAAATTTAATCAATTCAATTTTCTCTATGCGCATAGAGATTCCTGCAGCTTCAAGAAATATCATGAGGTTTGGGCCCCAAAAATTGACAAACCATAAACTTTGCCATGACATCATGATTACGTAACTCGAATTTGGTTGAATTTGGAGGACATAAACACTCGAACTTTATGCGTTTTCACATGGCATCAAGCAATGGAGTTTCTATCTTTGTCCTCCTCTTAAACTTAAAGCATAAAGGGAAAAGCCCAGGTGATCAATACACATAGCTTAGAATTAAGAATTCTTTGACCAAAAGCTTAGGCTTATGTAGGCAAAAAGGAAAAAAGAACAACAGGGGCTTATACTCTAAAAACAACTTGGTGGTCTTAAAGACGAGGTAAACACTTCTTTTATACAGAACCGAATCCAAATAGCTCCCCTTTATTCTATACATGGATGAAAAATTAACGATCATTGAAGGTCCTTTATTCTCTTTTGTTAAGGAATCATTTGCTAAAAACAGTGTTTCCTTTTTGAAAAGAAAAAATAATTAAATTATAGTAGAGGAATGAAAATCAAAGGCTTAGTAATCGTAGCATTTCATAAGAATTTTCAAAATATAGTTGGTAAGTTTTGTTAAAGGTGTAACAATATTACTTAAAGTAATAGCAGTGGGGTCTTGGAGCCTTTTCAACTGTCATAACAGAAACAACCGGGAATTTTTCTTTCAACTTTTACTTTTTTTACTATAATTATACTCATAAATTTAATTACAGTAACAAAAATATAATATGGTTGCTTTCACAAAGTGTTTTTCCCAACTGACGTTAGTTTAAGAGGTTAGCAGGACTTTAAGTGGAGTAATGCTATTAAAACATAAAAATGTATAATAATAATACGAAAGTCGACATAATGTAATAACATTATTGTAGCTGTTGAACTGATTTTTGAGGGTTATATCACTCAACATATATTTTTATACAAGTAATTACAACTGTTGAATCTGATTATATTCTGCACATATTTTTAGGTTAAAATATTAAATTCAATTTTTAGATCCAAAAATATTATGCTTTCAAATCATTACTTTCCTAAATGTGGAATGATTCTAATGGCAATTGACGGAATTCTAAATTGTAACAACTGTGTGTGTGTGTGAGAGAGAGAGGGGGGAGGGGGTGAGAGATGTGAATGCATGAAGAAACACTAACCTGTAACATCTTGTTAACATTGCTAGCACCAAAGACCTTATGCACACTGGCAAACTTTTGAGGCTCATCAGCTGGGAAATAAGGAGCAAACACGCAGTCCTGAGCACACCTCCTCCGAAGAAGCTTGCATGCTGCGCATGGGGATGCTGCACCTTGTTTTCTACCACTCTCCTTCATTTTATATTCCCAAGCACTAACCTAGTGTAACTAGTAACTACCAGGAAAACTCAGCCTTAAATGCAAGGGTTTTCTATCTTAAATACATCTGTCTTCTGTTTTTTCGGAAATTAGATTATAATATATGGTCATCATAACAGAGACATAAAAAAACAGTGAGAAAGAGAGAGAGAGCGGATTAAAGGCGAGAAAATAAAGAGAAGACCCTGAGTGAGAGTGTGAGAGGGAGCTTTAAGGAAGAGCTCTTGGGTGTTATATAGAAAAAGCAGAAGGCAGGAGATCTTCAATGGGGCCTACCAAAGAAGAACCCCTAGATTTTGCTAGACAAAAACATCCTTGTTGATAAGATCTTTTGTCCCATCTCTCCATTATGTATATGGTCACTCTCATCCCCTCCTTCCCTTTTTCTCTTTCTATCAAGGAACATTGGAAAAAACTAGATTTAGATTCTTATCAGCATACCACGAGTATCTTCAACCAAAAAAAAAAGAAGCATGCCAAGGGTAGCAACAAATTGGTTCTAGTCCCATTGGATTGGCTACTTCTAAAGCGCAATATTGTTGGCTTGGAGGGTTTAGAAACAATGTTCTTTACTACTTACCCTCTATCCTATTTTCCTAGTCTGGTTCTTCTCTAGATCTTTCTTACTCTTTCTCTCAATTCTTAGTGGCTAATTTCAGCAGAACTACATCTTTATGTGCAAACTTCTTTTCGATTTAGTGACTGATAGAATCATTATTAACCCAGATTAGACTGAATGGAGTGGCTGCTTCTTTCTTTCACTTAAATGATTAAGTCTAATGTGAATCGTTAATGTTTATTTTTGGTTATAAAGCCCTGGGTTCGTACATTAGGTTAATAGAATCTCCTCATAATCTTGTAAACTAGATCGAGAAAAACAAAGGCTAGCTACAAAACTCCTTTCCATTTGTTGTTGCTCTCATTACTTCAATAATAGGATTTCTGTGTCAAATTGTTACAGAAATCTTAGGAAGATCTGCGACCAATTTATATGATGTAAAAACTAGCAAAAGGGTTTACGGAGGTGATCATATGTATGGAGTCCTGTTCATTACTTGTTTCCATGCTTAATAACCCTGTTTAACTACGCCGGACATAAAGAAAGAAATATAGAAAATCTTTAAGACCTTAAAAATTGAATCTGCTCTAAAATCAACTCACAAACAATGGTTCGTCTGAACTGAACACATTCTTTTATTTCAAATGCTCCGTAGAGCACCAGTTTGAGTCACCCAGTTTTGTTCGGCTAAACACAGCTCCAAAAGGAGCTTCAAGAGCAAAGGTGTCATGCTTCATGCCAATATGCAAGTAATTTCATGTTCTTCATCCCAGTGCAAAAGAATGAGCCAACCAAAGTGTATAAAGAGACACGCCTTGGGAGTGATAGGATGTGCCTAAAACTTCTGAGTTGTGAGCAAAATCTAGGCATATAAAGATATAAATCAAAGGCATTTGTATTCGAGCTTCGGAGGCTCAGGATGTGAGATTGGTAGTTATTTAATCCTTTGAATTGCGAACGTTTTCTCTTCTAGCTAGACCATGTTGTTTGTATCTCGATCAATATCTCTCTTGAGAGTTTAACTAGGAGAGCCTTTGATCATGCCCTGGGTTATGCCGTTTCCAATTTTACCGATGGGGGGAGGAGGTTTGCTACAATTCTAATGAGCCTAAAACTACTTTGACCTAGTATTTCAGCAGGCTTTTGCACACTTCTGTTTGACTAAAGTTTATTATCTAGCCACTTTTTTCATTAGTGGCAGAAAAATAATTACTCAAAAAAGTTTTTGTAATTGCTTGCATCTGTTTGGTCCAATTTATATATGATATCTGCAACTTTTTTGGTGGGGATTGTAGATGGGAGAGACACACACACACACACACATATATATATATATTTATAAAAGATGTTGCTTCTGTGTTTATTAGCTTAAATCCTAAGCTACATCACTAGGTTATTCTCTTTAGGCTTAGTAATTATTTTATATGTTACATCGCTTGTGACCGGCTCATGGTGTTAGATCTTGCCTAAGGCTTTAGACGCAGAAAGAGACAAGGGTACATGTAGTGAAATTGAAAGCTCAAAAAATCTTATTGATAACTCCAACTGATATGGTTTGTTTGATAAGATTGGAACCAACCAAAAAAAAAATATGTAATGGGAGTGTAACTAAGCACTCTGATTAGTGGAAAATTGGCCAAAGAGATCTGGTAAAATAAATAGATGATTGGGAGGCAGGTAACATCATTTGAGAGCGAGTGCTTTGGTGGTTGAGTAATTTAATTATATAGTCGGTTGCATTAGCATGGCACACCACTAATTATTGTTTATGATAATTGTCTTAATCAAAGATGCTTTATGGGCTTAAGCAAGGTTATGAACTTATAAGATCCTTTTGAATAAATGGGTTCGATTACCATGTAAAAAATATGAATTTTGGATGGCTCAAAGCTCGCATCTCAGTTGATTTATGATCCCACCATGGGCGAAGCTTGAGTGTGCTTGCAGTCAGAGCAGTATTCAAATAATCTGTGGAGTCTTTTTTGTTTAGTTACCATTACTCATTCTTTGTAAACTATGAGTTTTACTAGACTTGTGGTTGACTTTGTCGACTTAAAAGTTGTTTCGGTCGACTTGGCTCGAGTAATCATCATCAACTTGTTGTTACGTATTATCCGATATTGTTCTACAATACAGTTGAACTATTTCAATGTCCTACAAATCGATAACCAATATCACGATCTTAAATAATGCATTATATTGACAATCATTCCCATCAAGCGAAAGCTCGTAGGCAATTAACATCTCGTCAATCAACATTTTGGATTGGACTCATGAACGTGTGGAAGTAATTTAGATCACCGAAGATGTCTTGTTCAGCATGTAGGATGTGATCGTTACAATACCGGCCGACGTATAATTATACATTGAGAAAGTCCGTGAGCATTAATTGACAAAATTGAATGATGAAGTGACAAGTGTGGTAGCGCTATTCTCCTAAATTGGAGTCTAGTTATGTTTGAATGTAAGAATTTGTTCACCTTAACAAATCTTGTTCTTTTATTTTGTAGAACAAGTGAAAATACAAAATGAACTGCAAGTACTGATTTGAACAAATTCGCATCATTCAAAAGTGATGCAGTGTGTTAAATAATAATGTTTTATATGATCTTCTTTTAGACCTTAGCCTCACTTTTTACCTCTGGTAGTTGCAAGGTTTGTTTTCCGGAAAGTCTCTGGTAGTTGCAAGTTGCAACAGTTATCGTTGGGTTAATTTGACCTTTAAGATATTCTTTAATTTGGTTGGTGGATTCAATCTAGAACGGTGATTAGTTTCAATCTCTCTCTCTCTCTCTCTCTCTCTCACTTGAGCAATCATAGTTCTATTATCATTGTTCTTCCTGTAATGGGTAGTTGGCATCATGGTTGTAACCATCAAAACAGTTAGTAAATGTGCAGTGAACATGTGGAGGAAGTGAACTTCGGACGCCACTTCAATTTTCCATTTGCTTTGCATATTTGTCCAAATTCATTATATTAGAAGGGGTCGTGCACATACGGTAGCAGAAAAAAGAAGGAGAAAGACATACAAGATTAGAATCGATAAATGTAGGTAGTCAAATATACTGGTTGGAGGAAGAGTAAAAGGTGATTAAATGAAAGAAAACATGTGATATTAGTAAATAGACTTGTACTTAATGACTAATAACTATTAATACATGGAGAGGAGTATAGATTCTCGGCTTGAATATGTTATAATGATTTTTTTAATTTCATCAAGAAGAAATCTCCGTACTTGGTCATGTATTCGATTTTTATAAGAAAAATTCAGCAAATTAGATACGAAACATTAAAGTTCAAACCACCAAATCTTCTTGTATACTTTAGACAATATAATATGGTAGAGGTTGCCCATTTCATTAATCTTGAATGCATTTGACTATTAATCTCTTGGAAAACCATGGCAGTCACTACCACTAAGCATATCTCTTTTGAATATGTTCTCTATAAGATGTGGGCACATCCTGTTCAACATAAAATACTCCAACATGATGGGTCCTCATTGTCTTACACTGCCATGCATATTTTTTATATTCTTATCTTTCTTGTTATACATCAGCAAGGCATGGCCAACAGAAGCTGTAGACTTGTTCATGACATACAAAAAGTTGTTAATGGGACATGGGCTCATTAATTTCTTGTTATATAATTAGGCATGGGATTTTATGTTTACTTTTTTGAGAATTGAGATGGCTTAACCCACCTGACAGAGATCCCTTATGTGAAAACATGGTGCTTTTTCTTTGAAGAAAAAGCAATTCCACTACCTAACACATCGATTACCCCAGAAATGGGGTGGTGATGATTAGGGATTCCTCATTCACCTTGGCATGGCTGGGCAAACTGTCATCATGGTCAGGTGCTGCATGGCTTGACTTTGGATGTATGGTCCAAGTTACTTATCATTTGGTAGGTTCGGGGTCCCCTCCTAAATATTTGCAATGAATTCAAGTGGCCGGGTCGTCTTACTAGCTATAAATGGTGTCAATTCAAAACCGACACCGTTAATGGTAAATCAGTTATTATAAATTTAAGTGAGATCTACTATGTTAAAGAGACATTTTCACCAATACACTGTGAATAATTTATCATTCAAAAGAATTGGAAAAAAAGTGCTCAGCCACATTGGTCATGCTTAAATACACACATATATAGGCACTGCGAAGGTCCATCATACCTCAAATTTCCTGCTTCACCCAATATTCTGGTTAGGCTTTGGCATCACAAAGATTAGGATAAGATCTTGCCGGAAGATACTCGGATGAGAAGACAAGGGTAAATGTGACAAATTTGACATGAGAGCTCAAAGAGCTTTGGCATAACATGATGAACTCCAAGTGTCACAAGAAGCATGAAAGAAGACAATTAAAATTTCAAATAATTTATATGAACCAATGAATTTATTGGTGGAAATTTTCTGCCAGACAGGTATCGTATTGTTTGGTGATATAATGGGAATCATTTTATAGTAACGTGACATCATTGAAGATGACTATTATTTTTTAGTATTTTAAATTCCCTTTTGGTGCAAAAAACAGTGACTGGATTGGTGGTTGGAGGATACCATCTCATCAGTGATTGCCCCTTGTGCATCAACAGAAGGCGATTTACAACAATAATTCCTCTTACCAAAAAGGTCCTGGAACAAAAAAGTCAAACGATTTACATGGAGACTAAAACTACCGAGCAATGTGTCGCGTTGAGTCGGTGTGTAAGTTTAGTCCATAAACCACCCATATGTAGTTTGGTGTAGTGTCTAAGTCATGTATAGTAAAATTCATATAGTGTGTAATAATATTCGTTTTTAAATTATTTTTTAAACAAGTATGATGAAAAGTCAATTCAAATATCACCCGAACTAGTTAAAGTTAAAAGTGATATATCAAACTTGGTAAAACCAATGGTAATGGGGGACCAATGATTCTACATCATTTTTAAGCCTTTCATTTTTAGGACCATATGACTTTGTTTCATAAGTGCTCCCCATGAAACCCCCTCAAAAAAAGCACCGAATAAGATGGTTGGCAACTACAGGTCAACCTTTTGCTGTTTGTACATATATAGAATGACCTGTGTGACCCTAATTAACTGAATTTATTCTTGAAGAAAAGGCACCGAATTAATAGGATTAGAGAGCATGATCAGTCCTACGGCACCAGTTATTGCCGTGGTCATTTCTGCTGTCACAATCCACCACCGAAAGCTTGTAGCTAGGTGGCTTACAATTCAAATATAAAATATATACATATATTAATATATTTACCGGTAATTATACTAAAATGGCACCTTATTTCTGTTTATTACCAACCACAGACAGAAATAAAATGACCAGAGTTTTAGGTTTGTGGTTTAATTGAAACCATGTCCCACCTGAATGGTTTATGTCAAAGGAGCAGGAAGGAAGGATGGCGCTGAGCAAATAAAGTGCAGCCCTTTTTTGTGTTCTCTTCTGGTATATATTCTCCTTTGCTTCCCTACCCAAGTTGGAAATTAAACTGGCATGACTACAAGGTTCGCCAATGCCACCTCGTTAACCAAGTTTAATTTCCAACCCCCCCCCCCAAAAAAAAAAAAAAACACACACACACCCCCCAAAGGGTTACAATCTTAGGTGGTGGTTCTGGTTCAAGTTCTATTCTGAACAAGATTTTGAATAAGATCTTGTCTGGAGCAAGACATGCAAAGAAACAAGGATTGATGTGATACAACTGACATTGAAATATGATAAAACAATTCAAAAACCCTTGGTTCCTGTATATAAACTTCCGAAGTTATGTCACCACTGGTGATTGCAGTCCGAGAAAATTGCAGCAGGAATGGAATGGAAGAATATACAGTAAACATAACTTAATAAAAGGGGTGTATTATGGGTTATGCTGCCTTCAAGAACCCATGGCCAATATATATATATATGCCTCATGCTGATCCATAAAACATGTTTATGAGATGTTGATAGCCAAATAATGAAGAGTCACAAACTCAAATCCACACAAGGACCTGCCGATCCATTGAAAAAGTTTAGAAAGCATAATGGTCAAATGCCAAAAGTAGCCAAAAAAAGAGTTGAGGTGATCAACAATGGAGTCTAATAATTAATGTTAGGGTCTACAGAACATGAGAGATTTATCCCTCATGACTTGTCTTTGATCAGATAAGAAAGATGATTAGTCGAGGTGCACATAAGTTGCTCCGACACTTTGACTCCAGTTCTGCAAGTAAAAACTTTGCTCAAGAAACCCAAGTAATTTTGGAGAGAAAGAATGACTTTGTAGACAGGTAACATCATTAAGAGAGAGTGCTTTAATAGTTAAGCTTCAGTACAAAGGATAATTAATTGTTTATTTATCTAAGTATCCATTATGGCGAACATGATGATATAATTAAGGATCTTTCCGTATATTTCATTGTCTTCAAGCCACATTTTTCTAGCAAACAGCAGAAAATTCTGATGGATATAAAACCATGGAAACAGTCCAAGTGCATTATCTCCTAGATCATTTTTCTCCATTGTTGCTGTCACCGTCGTTGTTAGCCCTCATCAGCTAAGCAAGAAAAAAGAGTTTAATGGCGGCTTACGATTTGTGGGTCACGTGTAGTTGGATTTACATTATCTAAACTGTGTAATCTCCTGTTGTAGAGAGGAGACAATTTGGAATCCTTTTTATCATTCTTTAATCCGAATCATGCCTTTTATTTGGTTAATTAATGTCATCAATTTGATTGACGCTGAAGGATGCAAAAAGATTACATGACAAACCAAGACCCTTAAAAGCAATGGTGATCGGACACCAATTAGAACTGATTTCGGGCGACAATGTCAGAAAATTCTCAGTGATCTAAGCAAGAATATCACACCTTCGATGCAGTTATTTTTTAGATACTTTTTTTTTTTATTATTTTTATCTCGTTTGGGGTATTTTCATAATATTGCGTATTGTTTGATTTTTTTGATAATTTAGGTCCATTAAAGGTTCTTATTTATATTGTGGTGAAGTGAAAACTTACTCAGCAACTTTGGTTTATTTTGAATAAATTTTAGAGACGAGTTATATTTCAATTCTCAATTGATTTGGTATCAGTGTTCTTAAGAATTAACAAAATTCTTAAAGATTGTAATATGATATTATTACGAAAAGCAACAGATTATAATTTTTATTGTTTGATCCCGTTTCTCTATTCACTCTTCCTGTATCAAATATTCAAGTTGAAAATTTTTGGATTAAAAGGCAAGAGCTCTATCTCTGTGCATGTGTGTTTGTTTATGGGCGTAATTGTGGGCTCACAAGGACCTGGGTTTAGTCCCTGTGGTTCCAGGCCTTACTGTAGTTTGCGAATTCTGTTAAGCCCATCACTTTTGGCAGAAATTCTCAATTTACTTTAAGGTTAGGCAATATTGGAGTTGGGATCTTAAATTTTTAAGGCCAAACCCAAATTTAAGCCCAAATTACAAATCCAAGATCAGGTTAAATTCGGGTACGATGTTTTTATTCGATTGAGCTGGTGTTGACTTCTCGGCCAGCTCAAACCATTCTCAAATATGCAAAGACAGAAGAGTGTGATCCATCACATCCAGATAGACTACTATAATTCATCTCATCTAAAGTAAGTTTCATTGCAAAGACAGAATATATATATATATATATATATATTATATAAAACCTGACAGAATTTAATAAATTTATCTGACAGTTTCAAACAAATTCATCTAATGGTTATCGACATTCCTCTTAAAGTCATTTGTATTACACTGTGCCTTCACGCACTAGTTACCTCTAATATATATATATATATATATATATATATAGACACACACAGAAGACAAATGGATATTTCTACAATTCGCTAGCATGCAGATATGGAAGCGATGGATTATACCATGCCATTGAGGCATGGAGTACAACACACTCATCTTCTTTTTTTTTTTTTTTTTTTCTGAGGACCATATAGAAGGTTCTTGAAGCAGAAACGATCTTTACATTCTAGACAATCTAAATTGCATTGGTTTACTTTCCAAGTGCTTGGTATAATGGGATGATTAGTCAGAACAGAATTCTTTCATGCATCCAAATATGTTTCTAGATTTCTCATCTTTTGTCCACTATAATTTGTATGTTGCAAACAATTACCCTTAACGCCAAAGTGGCCGCTTTGCTCCTAACTGCTAATAGGTGTTGAGCAACTTTATAGTACAGTTATCGATTAAATTTAGGATAATTCTTTATGCATCAAAACTTGACTCAAATTAATTGTAATTATTGGATCAGTAATGAAATTCACTAATCCAACGGTTGCAAGTGGTTTGATGCAAGTTTTGGGGTGTACATTTTTTGTGCACATAACATTGCTCTTAAATTTAATGCAAAAAAAAATGCTAGAAATAGCATAGCAGACGAGTGAGATGGGTTTTTTTTTGGTTCAACAGTAAGTGGTATTCGGACCAGTTTATGTATATCTTGATTAATTTTTTCTTCAGTTTGGTCAAAAAAAAATTATCAATGCTGAGACTAGAGAATTTATGAGGAATAAATCTCTCATAATCTGATTTTAAAGAATCGATAAAATTCAAATTTAAAATGTATAAATTTACACCCGTCTATGTGACAACATACTTTTGACTTTACACTTCGAAGTACAAATTCATGCCACCAAGGCAAACACAGCATGAAAGGTACCTGTACCTTGATCAGCATGCAAATGAACTTTTTGTTTTTTTGGTATATATCTCCTCAGGCATGCTTTGAGAAGAACACACAAAAATTAAAAAAGAAAAAAAAAAAAAAAAAGTGAGAGAGACAATGTACATTGTTTTTTTTTTTTTAAATAATAAAAAAAAAGATTATTTTATGATCTTATTGAATGAGAAACGTTATATTGAGAATGATACTATGTCCGGTAGGTTATACTTATCCTACCCAACAACTTAGAAGGCCAGGGTCTTGCCTTCTGAGTATAAGCCATTGAGAGGTCGACCAAATGTTAGTGGATTTGTCATATTAGAATTAATCTTGTGTCAAATATACTTTTACCCCTCAACTATACCCATTATCTCACATTACTCTCCTAATTATTGCATTTCTCACGTTACGCTTCTATTGGTCTCATATTCCCTCTACCATCATATTTCTGCCATTGCCACCCCAATTATGATTTTTTATCTTCACAGTGTTTCAATTATAGACATCAAAAACATGTATTCTACTACTCATCGGGACATATTGATCCATCCAAAACATTACTCACATTTGACTTTTGGAAGATTATAAAACCATTACAAGTAGTTGAGGGTGTGTCATCAAAAAAAAAGTAGTTGAGGGTGTAATGTTAAAAATTCAATAGTTTACGGGAGTTGTAGTTGAAGGGTTGCCAAAGGTAATTTTTCCTTAAAACTAACCTATAAATAAACGTATAATTTATTGGCATTCCACTGTGAGGGTGAGGGTGAGGGTGAGGCCGGCTGCTGTGCACCATCGAATTCGATATTCATCCCATACAATTAGCACTCACCTGAAAATGGCTCTCAGTTTCAATGATGGAAACTCACTGTTCGAATTTGTTGTACAAGACGGTAATGGTGTCAAAGGCCTGGTGGACTCAGGCCTAGCCAAGGTCCCTGATCGATACATCCAACCACCACAAGAGCGAATTGAAAAGCTAAACGCAAGCTCACATGAACAGCCACCCATTGACTTATCACTGCTGGATGGGCCTAATCATGACCAAGTCGTGGTGGCCATTGTTAAAGCTGCCCAGATTTTAGGGTTCTTCCAAGTGGTGAACCACGGCGTGCCCGTGGAACTGCTAGAGTCAGTTAAAGATGCAGCACACCGGTTCTTTGCCCAGCGACCGGAGAAGAAGGCAATTTATCTCAAAGGAGTGAGCCCGAGCCCATTTGTTAAGTATGGGACAAGTTTTGTGCCTGAGAAAGAGAAGGCCCTGGAATGGAAGGACTATCTGAGCATGGTGTACACCAATGATGTGGACGCCCTTGAATATTGGCCTAATCAATGCAAGTAAGTACATTTATGTTAGTGAAATTGCATTTTGTACCCAGCTTCTTTTTTTATAATTTGTCATTGCAATTAATTCAATGGCCATACTATCGACATGAACACAATATGATCATTGTGATTCATCTTGAAGTCTATTTGTTTTATTTACAGGAACGAGGCGCTCGAGTATCTAAAGACATCAACGAAGATGGTGAGAAGATTATTGGAAATCTTAGTTGGGAACCTTGGAGTGAAATTGGAAGACTCGAGAGTTGAGTCACTTATTGGTCAAAAGATGGTTAACATGAATTTTTACCCACCATGCCCAAATCCTGAGCTAACTGTTGGCGTGGGGCGCCACTCAGATATGGGCACCCTAACCGTGTTGCTACAAGATGGGATTGGTGGTTTATATGTCAAAGTTGAAGAAAGCTCGGATGTAGGAGAAAAGGAAGGATGGGTGGAGATCCCTCCCATCCCTGGAGCTTTGGTCATTAATGTTGGTGACACGTTACAGGTTAGCTAGACATTATAACAGTTTTACCTTAACACATTTCAAGAGTAATAAGAAATCGAGTCATGTTGTGTGTTCGGATCGTATAAGTACGTGCTTATATTGAATATTAGTCAACATTACCCAATCTATTTAATTTATTGTGTTTGATCTTAACACTAACTTGATATATTAGAATTCTACATACAAAAAATTCATATAATAGTTAATCAAAGTGTGAAAAAACTCAGAGTTCTTTTGTATAATGTTATCTAAATGGGTTTATCATGTTATATACATATTTAACAATGACTTAACTTGTTTTGATTTGCATTAGCAAGTTGTATCGTTTTGAGATTTGTGTCGAAAAGTAACAAAGTGTGACTTATATTGTGATATCTAAATGGGTTTATTATGTTATACCTATGTTTTTTTTTTGTTTGTTAGATTCTCAGCAATGGAAGGTACAGAAGTGCTGAACACAGAGTGCGTACCACAAGCATGCAATCAAGAGTGTCGATACCAATATTCACAATCCCACAACGGACGGAAAAGATCGGGCCACTGCCTGAGGTGGTGGAGCGCGATGGGGTGGCTCATTATCGGGAGTTCATGTTTGAAGACTACATGAACAACTTCTTTGGACAAGCTCACGATGGAAAGAAGTCCCTTGATTTTGCTTATATTGGTTCAGCTTGATGTCTAAAATGAATTCTGTCATGTATCTCTTCTGTGTTATCTGTGTCCCTCACCTTCAAAATAAGGTCTCTACTTTGCTACAGTACTGTGTGTTTGGCCCTTTGTTGAAGTTCTTTCTGTCAACAATTTTTCTTGTTTATTTTTTGGGCAGTTAAGGATGGTCCAAAAATGTTTGTCATTTTATGCTATGCTTGAACAAAAATTAACGGATAAACCAAAATAATAGCCTTTTTTTTTTTTTTTTCATTTGTGTTACTTTGATCTTTTATCGTGCATGAATTATATTTTGAGTCATTGTAAAATAAATTAAAACTGATTAGAGTGTTAAACTCAATTAGTAAGAGAATTGAATTTGAGTAATGTGTCGCTGACTCGGTTCAAACCTTTTTTTTTTTATGAATAATTCTTATTTAATAATCAAACACCCCTATTTGAATGTGAACAATGTTGAACTTATCTATAAAATGTTGTAAACTATATGACTTCACTACCTCTCTCTTCTCTAATAATTTTTTTTTTAGAAATTTAAACTTCTAGAGTTTAATGTTATGGTTGATTACACATAGTTTGAGTAAATTGGCTATTTAGGATTAATTATTAAGTTCTTTGTTTGAAATTTTTTTTTATTGAAAAGTTTGACTAAATTTCGGTTCAAATGCTCACAAGTTCATGTTGACCTAAGTTTGAGAAAGAACTTCAATTTGATAATAAAGTTCAAAGAGTCGCATCTGAGCCAAACTTAAACATGCTAAAAATCGACAAGCCCAACTCAATTCAAAATAAAATGTAAACTGTCTTAGCTTTTGATTAGAAATCAGGTTATAATTGAGTTATTCATGTATAATTTAGATCTAGATTATTTTTAATTATTATTTTACCAAATTCATTTAATTGGCTAAGAGGTTCCACGGAGAACTACCTAAGGAAGTGTATTAAAAAACATCTCACTTTACCTAACGTAACTCGAAATCTGGTCTAAGACTGGCCAACTTCTCCTTTGGATTGGATAACTTCAGCAGAAACATACAAAGTTATTTGAAAACATAATATTGATTCGCCCACAATATTATGGGACTTAAAGAAAGACTCGAAAAATTGTCATGTAAACAGTGTCACCAAAGAGAGACATGAGATAATGACAATGGGGTTCCAATCAATGACATCATGTAATGTCCTCTTCATAGTGCCCAAGTAGTGTTAGTAAGGAGTGACAACAATAGATTGACCATAAATAATTACAATCTATATTTGTCCACTCAAAGAGTTGCACCTAAAGAGGGACTCGAAAAACTGTCATGCAAAAAAATGTCACCAAATAAAAACACGAGATAATGACAATAGAGGGTTCAATCAATGACATCATGTAATGCCCCCTTGATAGTGCCCAAATAGTGTCAGTAAATAGTGACAACAATAGATTGACCATAAATGATAACAATATATATTTGTCCACTCAAAGAGTTACACCTAAAGAGAGACTCGAGAAATTGTCATGACCAAAGAGAGACACGAGATAATGACAATGGGGGTCCAATCAGTGATATCACGTAATGCCCCATTGATAATGCCCAAGTAGTGTGAGTAAAGAGTGACAACTAAACTATTGTTTGATATTACTATTTTTTTGTTGAGCGTGTTACTGTTTGATGTTACATTTTTTTGTTGAACGTGTTACTGTTTGATTTTACTATATATGTGTGTGTGTGTGTGTGTGTGTGTCTATATATATATAAAATTTTAAAATTCAAATGATACATAAATATCAAAAGAAATCTTGAAAGTCTCACATTCTAATATTTAGATATTAGAAATATAAAAGTTGTTAATTAGGTATGCATTATTTATGGTAGGGGTAATTATGAAATATATTTAAGAAAAAAATTTGAAAATATTTTAAATTATGTACTTATTGACAACTATTTATGAAAAAAAGGACTTAAAGGAGGATAAATTTGGAGGTAATACTTAAAACCAAATAAGTTTTGAAAAAGGTACTTACATCCCATTATCTCCAATATTTTTATATGCCTAACTTAATTACAGGGCTAGGCTGCTCGGACCATCTAGCCCATGGCCCAGTAATGTGTCTCTAAATTCGGTAGTTGACTCCGGAGCAAGCAGGCCCTGCCTACTTGGCCATTTTAACCGATAAGCCGGCCTGACTCATATGTTATGACTTCCATTAGCATTAGTCATTGCTATATATTGAATCACTCTCCCAGCTAGGGATGACAGTGGACCGGAGAAAAATGGGTATTCGTCCAAATCCGTCTCGTTTGGACCGGGGATGAACTATACATATTGGATGGTGGACGTATACGGAAATACTCGTATAAACCCGTGCGAGGATGAAGGCGGGAATGGACTTAACCTTACCCTCGCCCCGTCCACGTTACCTATTATATATATATATATTTGTGTGTGTGTGTAAATCCCTTTTGGGATATATTCCTCCATATTCCTCTTTTCTCCTTCTCCACATGCTATCAAGCAAGAGTGTATATAATGGAGTTAACTAAAAATGTTGTTATGTGGCATTTGAAAAATCACTTTTTCTATGTTTTTTTCTCATGCAAGTATATCCCTTTGTTCTATGTTTTTCCATATTCCTCTTTTCTCCTCCTCCACATGTATCAAGCAAGTGTATATGTACTGGAGTTAACTAAAAATGTTGTTATGTGGCATTTGAAATATCATTTTTTTTATATAATCCTGTTTTCCTACCTATTTTTGTGAGTAACATGAGTGATTCAATACTTAATGCATCAAAGGTAGTGATATTACTAGTTGCAATATAGGGGCAACAGTGGTTTTGGAGCCTTGGGAGAATTGAGAGAGCTCTAAATCAAAAACTACGAGTTTGAACCACATTTCATAGATGAATCTGCTTGGCTCCTAGAAGGCAGTCTTTGTGATAGGATTATTGGCTCCTAGGAGGTTGCCTTTGTGACAGGATAATAGATATGAGCTCTATTTCACAAGCACTTTGTTGCCCAAAAGCCTTAGGTTTTTGTGAGCAGCTGAAGTAGACCTCTAGTTTTTTGGACATTTGTTGTTTGTGTGTGTTAGCAATGCTATATTATATTGTGTTAGATTATATTAAATTATTTAAAATGTTGTTGGATAATTTAAAATATTATATTTATTTAGAATTTTAGATTATGTTGACTTGAACTTGAGTTTAGGCTTAAATTTGGGCTTAGGCAGGTACGGGAAAAACGGGGACGGGGACGGAGATTAGAAATTTACCAGTAAATAAAAATAGAGATAAAAATTATACCCGTTAACAAAGGTGAACCAAGGATAAACAAATATTTTTTAAACAGGTACAAAGACAAAGATTATATCCCGGCCCCGCCCCCGTTTCGGTCCAACGACTGTTAGGAATTTAGTTTTATAAATTAAAATTATTTTTTTAATTGTCCTAGTATTTAGAAGTCTGTTACTGGGAGTATCAGTAATCTAATCTATTTCCTTCGTTCTCTGTTATTGTTATTCTGCTACTGTTGTGAGATAGTTCATAAATTAGTGATAAGTTAATTGATGTAACCTTCTATTTAAGGTGTTTGATCTGCTGAATAAATTACTCCTTCAATATTCCAGCGTATCATCCTCTGATAAATTATAACAGTGACATCCTACTCCAAGCTCATCGGAAGCAAATCCTGCGTCGAATTCTTTGCCATCAACTCGACCTAACCACTCTCTCTCTCTCGAATTTCGTTCGCACGCTTCTTCTCCTTGTTCACATAGAATTTACAATCTCATCATCCATGAACACCGAATCAGACAAAGCTCGAGTCTTGAAGGAGTTCGGGGACGATTATGGTTATCCAAAGGCTTCTAAGAACATCGATGAAATAAGAGCCACCGAATTTAAAAGATTGGATGGTCAGACTCTCTTTCTCTCTCTCTCTCTCTCCAATAATTCGTTATTTCCCACCTAACCATTTATCTTCCTCTTGGTTGCCAAGCAAACTGAAAATAATTAAATAAAACAAAAAGTAATTGGAAACGAGAAATTCAAGATTTCCTTTACTTTCTTCGGCTTTTAATTAGTGGGATAGTGTGATTCCAAAAAAAAAAAAAACTGGCATTGGGTTGTCATTTCTTCTGTGAATTTGTAGGTACGGTGTAGTTGGATCATGCAGGAGCATCTTTGTACTCTGAGTTGCAGATGGAAGCGATTCTTAAAGATTTTACAACTAATGCTTACGGAAATCCCCGTATCCTTTACACCTCAATTCTTGCCTGAAATACTAGGTATCTTATCCAAAAGAACACTCTATCCCAATTGAATATGATTCTGGGGTTCCTTAATCTTGTAAATCTCTCGATACCCAAAGTGATTACAGCTTGGCCACAAGCAATATTGTAGGGGAAGCTCGCCAACACGTAACATGTCTTATGCAAAATTTAAACCTATTGATTGGATTGGAGAACCTTTTTCCCCCTCATGTTTATGAAATCTAGATGTCTGCATTTAAATACATTGCTATTAACATTGTAAACTGTTTGGCTTCTGGTTGTAGAGTAGTTCGTGTGCAGGTATAAAAAGAAAGTTTGTTAACCATGCCTTGTGCCCATGAGGTGTTTGTGTGGAATCTACTTTTTTGCTCATATTCTATGTGTTATTCCTTTTATAATCAATTGATCTTTCTCCTGTTTGCCATTCTTCTTTGACGTGAATGTAAAACAGGTCCTTCATTTTTGTAATGCATCTCCGTGGGAGTACAAATGCATTTTTACTTCTAGGGCAACAGCGGCATTAAAACTTGTTGGAGAGACCTTTCCTTAGAGCAGTTTTATGTATACAATGGAGAATCACAACAGTGTCCTTGGTATCAGAGAGTATCCTACCACTGTTGAGCTTATCTTCTTGTCTCTAAGTAACTTTGTGAAGGCATGATATAGAATGCTGGTTTCTTGTACTTTCCAGTTGTTTTGACTGGTGAAAAGATTTAGTTTGCTAACGTGTCAATTACTCTGACCTTGTTTCTGCCTCTCCATTGGTGCCATCATTTTGTTGTGGACCTCACTAGTCTTTATATAATATTAGCCAATAACCAACGACTGGAAGTTTTTATTAGTTAGTTTATCTTTTATAACAAGTAAAACCTGTTATCTTGGTTACTTAATATTTGAAATAACACATTTCCTCTATAGAAATCTATTTAGTCCTTGTTGCATACCATTGTGATTGTATAGTTGTTGTAAAGATGGAAATAGTCATGTTATTTCATTAACTTATTTACCAGTGAAACTTTGTTGCTGTCTTTGTTGTTGGCTTGGCAATGACTCCATTACTCCCATGTACAGATAGCTCAACTCCTCTCTCATTATTATCATCTCCCTTGGACTGATCATTTTCATGGATGGATTCACCCTTAACTTTTCTAGATATGCACTCAGTCAAGGGGCTGTAGCCTTTGCAGTGGATATTGAAGATGCTGCACATGATAGTGGATCAACAAACCCTGCATCTTCGCTTAAGGTTTTATAGCACCAAATGCAAAGGAGAAGTGAAGCTAGAGTAGTGGAAGAAGAGCTTATTGGTAACTCGTGAATTAACTGACACATAATGTCACGCTTGAAAATCTGACAACAATGGTTCTATTGGCAACACTTCTTCTTTGTCTTCTTCTTCTTGTTCACTCAACTTGTATGTCGCTCATTGCAAGGGATGCTTACAACTTATTTGCCTTTCCTTCGGAGTGCAATTTCTCAGGTGTGAGATTCAACCTCGATCGGGCGAAGGTTATTAAGCAAGATTCACAGAGAATTTTGGAAGGCTCTCCATATTGCAAGTACATATGTCGCTACCAGTTTTAATATATTTAATCTATATCACAGACAAATATACCAAAATATATCATGTCAAAACTTACAGAGGATTATATCCAATGTAAATAATTGTTACAAAGATGCCTTTTTATTCGAGCACTTCTTTATGCTATGTTTTATTGCTCCTTCAAAAACGAGATCATTTTGAGTGGTTTACTTTGAAATTTGTAACTTGTAAAAGTCCATAGGAAGTCCTGAAGGCGAAGGATTGCACCATTAAGTGATTTTATTTAAGATGAAGGTACGAAAGGTCTGGTACAGGATGGAGTTGTGGATGACATCGAGAAATGTGATGTTTAAGAAGATACGATTGCAGATGGGAGCAAAATTTGCAAACCTGATACGTCTACCCAAACAAAAGGGCTGGGACAAGGCTTTTGTAGAGTTGAAAAGACCAAAGTGCCATGAGATGTTGAAGCCCTACATAAATTCTTAGGTTGAATATAGCACAGTAATGGCACAACTTTAGTCTTTCATGTAAGAATGGACGTCATTGTAGTCAATTTAAGACTTTATTCTTCACTCCTTTACTCAGAAAGATTTATAGAAATGTGACAACAAAATATCCTGAGACTACCTCGCTAGCTAAGCCTTTGTTTGAGTTTCCTACAGACCATGGATCAAATTGTTGGACCTTGAAGAACCATCTTTGCCTACTTCCAATATGCTGAATGGTTTATTTAGATGATGTTGGGAGACTCGGGACTTGACACTTTGTATTGAGATCAGAGATATATTTTTGTTATCTTTGAGTAATGTTTTCTTTTTGGTGACGAATTTTGGTATAAGTTGTTGATTTTAGTGTATTCTTTTTTTTTGGGGGGTACTCAAATATTAGCCCCTTTTTTGTTATTGGTCCATGACATTAGTTGGGTAGCTACAACCGACAAGTCAATTAGGGGGACATACTTCTCAAGCGATAGTTCCGTGATCCCAACCAGTAACTTGTTTAGTTGTTGGGGATAGAGGCATCAGAGCTTGTCCAACCTAGTGAAAAGGCTTGGAGATAAGATGGTTTTTTGATTCAGGTCCTGGTTGAATTTTTTAGATCAAATATGAATAGTTGGATAGATAGAGTTGGTGAAATCTAACCTTCCCATCGATGCTTTAGCAGGGCAGGTTGCTTGAGTGTCAAAACCAAGCCGTGATTGTTTTTGTTGGCATATGGGTATGAACAATAGATATGGAGACAGAGAGAAGATGACTGTGTTCTACCACGAGTATACATAAATTTGGTCATGCATATTGATATCATCTCTCTCTCTCTGCCTCTTCAGTGAATATGTCCTCTTTTGTTTTAATTTTTCTACTCTAGTAGTTTGTCCTCACTTTATCTATAACCTTAAGTAGTCAAAACATTACATTTATTATGAGAATGTTGCCCAGTTTTTGTATTACAATGGATAGAATAAGAGCTTCACAAAGGGAATTGCTTTACCATCAAATTCATGTACATTTTCATTCTGAATTGAGAATTAGAGTTGGTATATGCCAAAAAAGGTGACGCTACTCTTGAAGCAAAGATAAAAGAAGACATCAGGCAGCTTTCTAGACAGAAGTTGCCTAAAACCCTCCCAATTTTGGACCTTTTTTGAGTTGAATATTAAACTTCTCTTTTAAATTTTCCAATTTATTATAATCATTGAGGTGTCTATGCTTGACACTTATTTATTGAGTGGCAATTCAACTGGTTATTTTCCATTTATTCTTCAAAGTCTTTATCTAACTTAAAGTGTGAAAACAGGGGGTGCTGGATGGTTCTGATTGATGTTGCAAAAGGATGTGCAACAGAACCACCATATTTATCAAAGTACAAAGCAGATTTTGTTGTCATCTCTTTTTACAAGGTATCTGTGTACACCTGCTGAAGTTGTCCAAACTTGGATATGAGTGATCACTACCTCCAAATAATGTTGTTGAATCCTTTGTTTTTGTGTAGCTATTTGGCTATCCAACCGGACATAGAGCCCTCCTTGTTTGAAATGGTAAGCAGCTAATGAAGGTTTGTACTTACAGAAATATGTTCTTGGTGTCTCACGCTAAGTAATTGATTTCCTTTCTTACTAACCACAGAAGCTGCCAAGTTACTAAAGAAAACTTTAGTGGAGGTTTGTGCTCAAGCCTATTCTTTTCTATGAAACATATCTTTGAGTGCAATATTACATCGTTTAAATGTTTCCAGGTACCGTGGCTGCATCCATTGCTGATATTGACTTTGTAAAACAAAGAGAAGGTGCTGAGGAACTTTTTGAGGATGGCACCCTATCATTCTTGAGCATAGCATCTATTCACCATGGGTTTAAAATCCTCAATACTTTAACCATTTTTGCTATATCCCGGTACGTCAAAAAATAGTCTATCTAAGTGGAAAATGTTCCCTGCTTGTAAAGGAATAGAAGATCCCTTTGTTTGCTTTTTCTACAAACTTGTAGTTCTGTCAAATGTTTGCAAGCACACAACTTCACCAAGACTGGAATATGCATTTGATACAGCCGGATAGGTATCATATATTATTACTCTAACTAGGAGTAACCCGTACCTGAAGGCATGGTACAATGTAAACCAACCGACTAATTTGAAAAAAAAAATTATTTTAATTTATTTTAATTAAAGAAATTAAAATCAATATAGTCCCTAAATATTTTTTGTGGACTATTTCGGAAGAAGCTGCTCTAAAGATAGGAGCCCAGGAAAATCACAACTTGTCTACAAAACTCAAAATGTTTTGAATGCACAATATAATCAAACCTAAAATTCACAATTCACCATCTACATAACAATAATCATAGTTCACAATCAAAATTCTCTCAAAAATCACCATTCCGAATCCAATTACCAAATAACCATCAATTCCAATCAAAATAAATTAATCACCACGTGTGATTGGTTCACTTTATTAAACTCGGGACAAATACAACAAACATGCAAAGAGAAAACTAAGACAAGCAACCAATGCCTGTAAGTATTTTGTAACCCACGCAAGTCTGGTTAATTTGATGTAAGCTATTTTTCATTTTATATAATAAAAGAAAGTTAAATCAATTTAGTAAAAAAAAAATTTTGGTCACATAAATCAATCAATCTAGTAATAAATTGATATTTTTTCAAAATTTTGACATGATTTCCTTTGAAAATTGGAGACCATGGAAATATCAATCTGTATATAGAATCAAGAAACAAATAAAACAATCTCCCAAATCAGTGATCCATTTCCAACAGCAAAAAAAAAAACAGCAATTTCACATCAAGCCAAAGATATCCCCATAAACATGAAATTAGTTCACCATACTAAACACTGAATAAACAAAAACTCACGCAAATCCGGCTAAGATGATATAAGTTATTCTTTATATCATTTAATTAAATAAAGTTAAATCAATCTAATAATAACTCGTTATTTTTATAAAATTTTGCTAGAGTTTTCTTTGAAAATAGGAGACAATGAAAATATCAACCTGTATACATAATTAAAAAAAAAAAACTAGTGCCTTGTGCCATTTAAAGAAATAAAAAATTGATTATGCACACAAAAAATTAGGCACTGAACATGGACACTCATTAAGCTGACAACCTAAACTGAATTCTTAATACATCACTTCGCATGCATGCTCAACAAAATATTACCTATAAGAAGATTCTTGTGAAAATAAATTTCAATGAAGAGACGAATAAAAGCCAGCTTTAATAGTCAAGATCCCATAATTTTAAATTGAAAACAAATAAAATTCAAATGGTTGAAACTATAAACCTAATTAGAACTAACAATATTGTCTATATATATTTAATCAAAAGTTAACTCACAGGACTTGTCAAACCTGTCATTAGAAAAAATGTAGGCATTATGTTATGCTACACCAAAAATTGTCAAATTTTCTTTATTATTTTAAAATATTTGGACATAATTTTTCTTAAAAACATAATTTTTCATAAAATGCTAAATACACAGTCCATCCACCCTCTATAAAATGCTAATTAAACAAATAAACTATGAATCCCGCATGACATTCCTCAAGTTTAATTAAGTCAATCCAATTAATTTTTCTTGTTTGTTCTAAATTAAGGCCTACAAATCAATCTGTGTTACCTATGTTTCTAGTTTTCTCATCTTTTGTCTACTATAATTTGTACAAAACATGACACAACAACACAACACAACGCTAACACAACATGGTATGTGTTAACTGTATGTTGAAAACAATTACCCTTAGCGCCCACGGTGGCCCCTTTGCCCCTAACTGCTAATCGGTGTTGAGCAACTTTATGGTACAACTATCGATTAAATTTAGGATAATTCTTTATGCATCAAAACTTATACCAAATTAATTACAATTATTGGATCAGTAATGAAAACTATTGATCTAACAGCTGCAAGTTTTGGGGTGTACATTTTTTGTGCACGTAGCATTGCTTTTAAATTTAATGCAAAAAAAAAAAAGAGTTATGCTAGAAATAGCATAGCAAGCGAGTGAAAAGGGGTATTTGAGTCAGTTTACGTAGACATCGATTAATCTCCTTCTCAATCTGGTCAAAGGCAGACTATCAATACTGAGATTAGAGAATTCATGAAAAATAAATCCCTCGTAAGCTGCCTTTAAAAAATTACTAAAATTCAAATTTAAGACATATAAGTTTACAGTTCGTTCACATGATAAGAGACTTTTGACTTTGCGCTTTGAAGTAAAAATTCATGCCACCAAAGGATAACACAGCATGAAAGGTACCTGTACCTCGATCAGCATGCAAATGAACTTATTGTTTTTTTAGGTATATATCTCCCCAGTCATGCTTTGAGAAGAACACACACAAATTTTTTTTAAAAAAAGAAAAAAAAGTGAGAGACAATGTACATTGTTTTTTAAAAAAAAATTAAAAAAAAAGACTATTTTATGATCTTATTGAATGAGAAACGTTATATTGAGAATGATACTATGTCTGGTAGGTTATACTTATCCTACCCAACAACTTAGAAGGCCAGGGTCTTGCCTTCTGAGTATAAGCCATTGAGAGGTCGACCAACTGTTAGTGGATTTGTCATATTAGAATTAATCATGTGTCAAATATACTTTTACCCCTCAACTATACCCATTATCTCACATTACTCTCCTAATTATTGCATTTCTCACGTTACGCTACTATTGGTCTCATATTCCCCTCTACCATCATATTTCTCCCATTGCCACCCCAATTATGATTTTTTATCTTCACAGTGTTTCAATTATAGACATCAAAAACATGTATTCTACTACTCATCGGGACATATTGATCCATCCAAAACATTACTCACATTTGACTTTTGGAAGATTATAAAACCATTACAAGTAGTTGAGGGTGTGTCATCAAAAAAAAAAAAAGTAGTTGAGGGTGTAATGTTAAAAATTCAATAGTTTACGGGAGTTGTAGTTGAAGGGTTGCCAAGGGTAATTTTTCCTTAAAACTAACCTATAAATAAATAAACGTATAATTTATTGGCATATTCATCCCATACAATTCGCACTCACCTGAAAATGGCTCTCAGTTTCAATGATGGAAACTCACTGTTCAACTTTGTTGTACAAGACGGTAATGGTGTCAAAGGCCTGGTGGACTCGGGCCTAGCCAAGGTCCCTGATCGATACATCCAAACACCACAAGAGCGAATTGAAAAGCAGGCTCAAATGAACAGCCACCCATTGACTTATCATTGCTGGATGGGCCTAATCATGACCAAGTCGTGGTGGCCATTGTTAAAGCCGCCGAGACTTTAGGGTTCTTCCAAGTGGTGAACCACGGCGTGCCTGTGGAACTGCTAGAGTCAGTTAAGAATGCAGCACACCGGTTCTTTGCCCAGCGGCCAGAGAAGACGGACGGAGAAGATTGGGCCACTACCTGAGGCGGTGGAGCTCGATGGGGTGGCTCATTATCGGGAGTTCATGTTTGAAGACTACATGAAAAACTTCTTTGGACAAGCTCACGATGGAAAGAAGTCCCTTGATTTTGCTCATATCGGGAGTTCATATTCTTTTCTATGTTAGCAGTGTCCCTCAGCTTCAAAATAAAGTCTCTACTTTGCTAGAGTACTGTATGTTTGACCCTTTGTTGAACTTCTCTCTGTCAACAACTTTTCTTGATAAGTTTTTTGGGCAGTTAAGGATGGTCCAAAAATGCTTGTTATTAATGGGTAAACCAAAATAATAGCCTTTCAAACACGCTATTGTGGTTCCTATTTTTTCATTTGTGTCACTTTGATCTCTTATCGTGCATCAGCTATGTTTTGACTCATTGAAATTGTAAAAATAAATTAGAATTGGTTAGAGTGTTAAACTCAATTAATAAGGGAATTGAATTTGAGTAATGTGTGGCTCACTTGGTTCGAACATATTTTTTTTATGAATAATTCTTATTTAATAATCAAACAACCCCTATTCGAACATGAACAATGTCGAACTTATCTCTAAAATGTAGTAAACCATATGATTTCTCTACCTCTCTCTTCTAAAAAATTAACTCTTTGTTTGAAATTTTTTTATTGAAAAGTTTGGCTTAATTTCGTCTCAAATGTTTACAAGTTCATGTTGACCTAATTGTGAGAAAGAACTTCAGTTTGATAACAAAGTTGAAAGTGTCACAACTAAGTCAAGTTTAAACATGCTAAAAATCGGCAAGCTCAACTCGATTAAAAATTAAATGTAAACTCTCTTAAGTTTTGATTAGAGGTCATATTATAGTTGAGTTATTCATGTATGATTTGGATCTTGATTATTTTTAATTATGTTGTTTTTATCAAATTCATTTAATTGGCTAAGGGGTAAAACGGTGAATTACCTAAGGAACTGAATTAAAAAACATCTCACTTTATCTAACGTGACTCGAAATATGGTCTTAGACTGGTCAACTTCTCCTTTGGATTAGATAACTTGAGCCGAACGAATCATTCCGCCCACAACATTATTCTATCTGACTAACTTAATTTCAGGGCTAGGCTGATCGGGCCATCCAGCCCATGGCCCAGTAATGTGTCTCTAAAGTCTAAACCCGGTAGTTGACTAATGAGAAAGCAGGGCCTGCCTAGTGGGCCATTTTAACCGTCGAGGCGGCCTTGCTCATATGTCCTAGACTCCCATCAGCGTCAGTCATTGGTATCCACTGAATCACTCTCCCAGCTCATCGGAAGCAAATCCTGCGTCCAACTCTTTGCCATCAATCCGACCTAGCCACTCTCTCTCTCTCTCTCGAATTTCGTTCGAGCGCTTCTTCTCCTTGTTCGCATAGAATTTACAATCCCATCATCCATGAATACCGAATCAGACAAAGATCGATTCTTGAAGGAGTTTGGGGACGATTATGGTTATCCAAAGGCTCCTAAGAACATCGATGAAATAAGAGCCACCGAATTTAAAAGATTGGATGGTCTGACTCTCTCAAGCTCCCTCTCTCTCTCTCTCTCTCTCTCTCTCTCTCTCTCTCTCTCTCTCTCCAATATTTCGTTATTTCCCACCTAACCGTTTATCTTCCTCTTGGTTGCCAAGCAAACTGAAAATATTTAAATAAAACAAAAAGTTATTGGAAACGAGAAATTCAAGATTTCCTTTACTTTCTTCGGCTTTCAATTAGTGGGATAGTGTGATTCAAAAAAAAAAAAAAAATTGGAATTGGGTTGTCATTTCTTCTGTGAATTTGTAGGTACGGTGTACTTGGATCATGCTGGGGCATCTTTGTACTCTGAGTTGCAGATGGAAGCGATTCTTAAAGATCTTACAACTAATGTTTACGGAAATCCTCGTATCCTTTAACCTCAATTCTTGTCTGAAATACAAGGCATCTCTTCCAAAAGTACACTCTATCCCAACTGAATATGATTCTGGGGTTCCTTAATCTTGTAAAACTCTAGATAGCCAAACTGATTCCAGCTTGGCCACAAGCAATATTGTAGGGGAAGCTCGCCAACAGGTAACATGTCTCATGCCAAAATTTATACCTATTGATTGGATTGGATAACCTTATTCCCCTTCATGTTGATGAAATTTAAATTTCTACATTTAAATGCATTGCTGTTAACATTGTAAACTGTTTGGCCTCTGGTTGTATATTAGTTGGTGTGCAGGTATAAAAAGAAAGTTTGTTAACCATGCCTTGTGCCCATGAGGTGTTTGTGTGGAATCTACTTTTTTGCTCATACTCTATGGATTATTCCTTTTATAATCAGTTGATCTTTCCCCTGTTTTTCATTCTTCTACAACGTGAATGTGAGGCAGGTCCTTAATTTTTGTAATGCATCTCCGTGGGAGTACAAATGCATTTTTACTTCTGGGGCAACAGCGGCATTAAAACTTGTTGGAGAGACCTTTCCTTGGAGCAGTCAGAGCAGTTTTATGTATACAATGGAGAATCACAACAGTGTCCTTGGGATCAGAGAGTATCCTACCCCTGTTGAGCTTATCTTCTTGTCTCTAAGTATCTTTGTGAAGGCATGATATAGAATGCTGGTTGCTTGTACTTTCTAGTTGTTTTGACTGGTGAAAAGATTTAGTTTGCTAATGTGTCAATTACTCTGACCTTGTTTGTGCCTCTCCATTGGTGCCATCGTTTTGTTGTGGACCTCACCAGTCTTTATATAAGATTAGCCAATAATCAACAACTGGAAGTTTTTATTAGTTAGTTTAGCTTTTATAACAAGTAAAACCTGTTATCTTGGTTAGTTGAAGTTTGAAATAACACATTTTTTCTATGGCAATCTATTTAGTCCTTGCTACATACCATTGTGATTGTATAGTTGTTGTAAAGATGGAATTAGTCATTCTATTTCATTATTTACCAGTGAAACTTTGTTGCTGTCTTTGTTGTTGGCAATGACTCCATTGCTCCCATGTACAGATAGCCGTCTCTCTCTCTCTCTCTCTCGCACACACACACACACACACACACATATCATTATTATCATCTCTCTTGGACTGATCATTTTTGTGGACAGATTCATCCTTAACATTTCTAGATATGCACTCAGTCAAGGGGCTGCAGCCATTGCAGTGGATATTGAAGAGGCTGCACATGATAGTGGATCAACAAACCCTGCATCTTCGCATAAGGTTTTACAGCACCAAATGCAAAGGAGAAGTGAAGCTAGAGTAGTGGACGAAGAGCTTATTGGTAACTGTTGAATTAATTGACACATAATGTCACGCAGGAAAATCTGACGACAATGGTTCTATTGGCAACACTTCTTCTTTGTCTTCTTCTTCTTGTTCACTCAACTTGTATGTTGCTCATTGCAGGGGATGCTTACAACTTATTTGCCTTTCCTTCAGAGTGCAATTTCTCAGGTGTGAGATTCAACCTCGATCTGGTGAAGGTTATTAAGCAAGATTCAGAGAGAATTTTGGAAGGCTCGTCATATTGCAAGTACATATGGCCACACCATTTTTTATATAGTTAATCTATATCAAAGACAAATATACTAAAATTTTCCATGTCAAAACTTACAGAGCATTGTATCCAATGTAAATAACTGTTACAAACATGCCTTTTATTCGAGCAATTCTTTATGCTTTGTTGTCTTGCTCCTTCAAAAACGAGATCATTTTGACTGGTTTACTTTGAAATTTGTAACGTCTAAAAGTCCATAGGAAGTCCTGAAGGCGAAGGATTGCACTATTCAGTGATTTTATTTAAGATGAAGGTACGAAAGGTCTGGTGCAGGGGAGAGTTGTGGATGACATCAAGTAGTGTGATGTTTAAGAAGATACGATTGCAGATGGAGCAATATTTGCAAAACTGATACGTCTACCCGTACAAAAATGGCTGGGACAAGGCTTTTGTAGAGTTGAAAAGACCAAAGTGCCATGAGATGTTGAAGTCCTACAGAAATTCTTAGGCTGAATATAGCACAGCAATGGCACAACTTTAGTCTTTCATGTAAGAATGGACGTCATTGTAGTCAATTTAAGACTTCATTCTTCACTCCTTTACTCAGAAAGATTTATAGAAATGTGACATTCGAATATCCTGAGGCTACCTCGCTAGTTAAGCTTTTGTTTGAGTTTCCTACAGACCATGGATCAAATTTTTGGACCTTGAAGAACCATCTTCACCTACTTCCAATATGCTGGATGGTTGGTTAATGGTTAATTAGATTATGTAGGGACATTAAACTTTGTATGGAGATCAGAGATATATTTTTGTCATCTTGGTGATGAATTTTGGGATAAGGAGTTCTGGTGTTGTTTATTTAAGTGGATTCTTTTTTTCAGGGTAGTCAAATATTATCCCCTTTTTTGTTATTGGTCCAAGACATTAGTTGGGTAGCTACAACCTACAAGCCAATCAGGGGGACCAACTTACTTACTTCTCGAGCGATAGTTCCACGATCCCAACCTAGTTGCTTAGTTGTTGGGGGTTGGGGCATCAAAGCTTGTCTGGCCTAGTGAAGGGGCTTGGAGATAAGATGGTTTTCCGATTCAGGTTCCTGGTTGAATTTTTTAGATCAAATAGGACTAATTGGGTAGATAGAGGTGGTGAAATCTAACCTTAGTAGGACAGGTTGCTTGAGTGTCAAAACCAAGCCGTGATTGTTTTTGTTGGTATATGGATATGAACAATAGATATGGAGACAGAGAGAAGAGGACTGTGTCCTACCACGAGTATGCATAAAATTGTGCATTCATATTGATATCATCTCTCTCTGTCTCTGCCTCTCTAGTGAATATGTCCTCTTTTGTTTTAATTTTTCTACTCTAGTAGTTTGTCCACACTTTATCTATAACCTTAAATAGTCAAAACATTACATTTATTATGAGAACATTGCCCAGTTTTTGTATTACAATGGATCAAATAAGAGCTTCACGAAGGGAATTGCTTTTCCATCAAATTCATGTACATTTTCATTCTTTATTGAGTAACTAGAGTTGGTACATGCTGAAAAAGGTGATGCTACTCTTAAAGCAAAGATCAAAGAAGACATCAGGAAGCTTTCTAGACAGAAGTTGCCTAAAACCCTCCCAATTTTGGACCTTTTTGAGTTGAATATTAAACTTCTCTTTTAAATTTTCTAATTTATTATGATCATTGAAGTGTCTATACTTGACACTTCTTTATTGAATGGAAATTCAACTGGTTATTTTCCATTTATTTCTTCAATCTCTTTATCTGACTTAAAGTGTGAAAACAGGGGGTGCTGGATGGTTCTGATTGATGCTGCAAAAGGATCTGCAACAGAACCACCAGATTTATCGAAGTACAAAGCAGATTTTGTTGTAATCTCTTTTTATAAGGTATCTATGTACACTGAAGTTGTCCAAACTTGGATATGAGTGATCACTAGCTCCACATAATGCTGTTGAATCCTTTGTTTTTGTGTAGCTATTTGGCTATCCAACCGGACTTGGAGCCCTCATTGTTCGAAATGGTAAGCAGCTAATGAAGGTTTTGTACTTTTGTACTTCCAGAAATATCGTCTTGGTGTTTCACGTTCACTAAGAGATTTCCTTTCTTACTGATCACAGAAGCTGCCAAGTTACTGAAGAAAACTTACTTTAGTGGAGGTTTGTGCAGACCTCTTCTTTTCTATGAAACATTTCTTTGAGAGCAATATTACATCGCTTAAATGTTTCCAGGCACTGTGGCTGCATCCATAGCTGATATTGACTTTGTAAAACAAAGAGAAGGTGCTGAGGAACTTTTTGAGGATGGCACCCTATCATTCTTGAGCATAGCATCTATTCACCATGGGTTTAAAATACTCAATACATTAACCATATCTGCAATATCCCGGTACGTCAAAAAAGTCTTATCTAAACGGAAATTGTTCGCTGCTTGTAAAGGAATCGAAGATCCCTTTGCTTGCTTTTTCTACAAACTTGTAGCTCAGTCAAATGTTTGCAAGCACATAACTTCACCAAAAATGGAATATGCATCAGATATAATATGCATTTGATACAACCTGATAGGTATCATATATTATTACTTAATTTTTGATATTGGATGCTATCAGGATACATCAAGGATATGCAGCTGATACATTAAGAAATAAGAATATAGGGGATGCGCCGAGGCTCAATTTTTTATTTTATTTTTATTTTTTAAACTGTGACAAGAAGAGTAAATAAAATTAGAAGTCGTTTAGTACAAAAATTATGATAATTCTTGTGTTGAAAATGACTGATCTGTTCAGTATGTTATTGAACAAACACCACTCACAATGCATCATTACACTCATACACTCATGTTTAAGATTGTACATTTCTAGAAACTGACAATTAGAGTCCGATTTGAATATCTTAGCTTGATTGCTATCTATTTAATGTCTTCGATGAGTTGTCAATTGAAAGGCCCAAGTAATGCAGCTCGTATCATTTTCAGCATTTAGGATTTATAGATTTGTTTAATATACCTTATGCCTCTTATTGTTGCATAAAATTGGTTTACTTGCATATATAGGAAATTGGTGTATCACACACACGTACACACACTTACTAATTCTTGGGGTTTATTTCTATAATGGCGGGCCTGGTGTCGTCTGTGACGACGATGTACAGGCTTTTTTGAATCACAGGCTATAGGTGGCAAGCCATGTTGCTTTTTTTAAGTTTTTATTTCAGTGGCATTGGTGTTGGTAGTTAATGCATGTTATGTTTGTTAGAGTGTCCAATCCAAAACCAATTGGTTATGGGTGGAATGACCCCTCAAGTATATAAACTAACTTTTGTGATCCCAATTATTCGACGTGGAATACAAACTCTCTTAACAACCTCCCTTGTGTGGGACCCAGGCTCGCACATGTGGTCAATAAACAAACAAATAACTATGTATGCCAGAAAATTCAAATAAGTAAGAGACTTGGTCCATTGACCATCCAAGACCCAACTCTGATACTATGTTAGAGCATCCAACCCAAAACCACGGTTAAAATGGCCCCCCAAGTATATAAACCAACCTTTGCGGTCCTAATTATTTGATGTGGGATACAAACTCACTTAAAAATTTTATATAAGACAAAATTTGTGCCATTTTCACAGAATTGTTAGGGCAGGGGTGAGATACAATACCCTTTTCTCTTATATCTCTTTAGCTTTGCAAAATATTTTGTTCATTGTATATTTGTATTCTTTTCTTATATTTCTGGAAGAGTTACAAAAGAAAAGACATTTTCATTTCATTGGTCTTTCTCTTGCCTTACTGGTTTGTTGTGAATTTCTAAGCCTTGGTTAGGGTTCAAGTTTTCTTACATGGGAAAGAGATACACATTTTTCTTTCTCCCTTGATTTGCATACAAAAACATAATCCCCTTTAAAATTTTCTTTTCATGGTAATTGGATTGTGTTTTGCAGCCTAAGTGGAACGTGTTAATGTTCTAACATGGGCTATATATTTTTACCTTCTAGGCATACAGCATCACTTGCAACATATGTGAGGAGTATGCTTTCATCGTTAACTTATGAAAATGGGGACAGCATCTGCACACTTTATGGAGTACCGAAGTCAAAGGTTTGTATTGCCAGAAAATTACAAATGAGTGGACTTGTTCGTCTTTTTGGAGTTCCTGACTTCTGGCATAGAAAGTAATCAGCATGACTTGCTCAGCTTTATCTGGAATAATAAACTGGTGTCCTGGCACATGCATTTTATATGATATCGATTTGGATCTCCCCTTTCAGCTGTTATGTAAGGAAATGGGTCCAATAGTTTCATTCAACTTGACAAGACCAGATGGGTCTTGGTTTGGCTACCGTGAGGTGGAAAAGTTGGCTTCTTTATCTGGGATTCAGTTACGGGTAAGTACTTTTTGATAGGAAACAAAGACTTCCATTCTGTAGAGAGTTATGAATGTACAAAATGGTAGATAAGATACCCAACCTAAATGCAAAAGAAAGACTTCCAGTTCATAGAAAGTTAGGGGTATCATATGTAGAATGGATAATCTGCTTATGGTTTGTTTCGTTCTTCTTGATTGAATGGTATGTTATCATTCATTGGACAAATGATTGAACTGATGCTTATGCCAATGGACATTTAAGTTTGGTATTTATGATTATTCTTACATGTTTGTCTACACATCATGTGACCATTCTTGTTCCACCTGTACTTTTTCCTCTAAAGCTTAATCCTCTCGCATGACCACTATTCTGATGATCCTTTTTTAGTTGTTGATCCATTTACTCTGCCCCTTGATGGTTGCTATCTTTGGAAAAAAGGATCATGTATACTATTCCTACCAAATAAGCGTCTGCGTCCCTTATTTATCCTGTCCTGCCCACACCCAAAATCTTCCATCCTACATCTTCTATCAGATGCATTGCAACTGCAGATAAAATGGTTCCTCCTTTCTGTGAACTTGATCAATCCTGTGATTTTTTTCATAAATTGGCTTCTCACTAGTGTGCAAAACACCAAGTAGGAGACAAATTATATCCACCACTCTATTATTATGGTTGTTACACACATGCTAGATTGAAATTTTATCCTACTTTTGTTGCATGGATATTTTCAAGATTTGTATTCTCTTGTATGCCATTTTTCAGCAAACAGTGGTTGTTTGCTCAGTGTGGGAATGGCTTAGGCTGTTAGTTCATAGTTTTTAACACTAGAGGACCGAAAGGTTTCAGTCCCAATCATTATCAATGCTGACTGCGTTTTTGTCCTTTTTTGCTCATGTACTTGTGCAGACAGGATGCTTCTGCAATCCTGGTGCATGTGCAAAGTATCTTCGTTTGTCTCACGGGGATCTTCTTTCCAACATTGAGGTAGTTTACATTCTGTTTCTAATTTTTGGCCATCATTATTGGTTTGAAAATCTTTGTTTTTCTATATAGGCTGGGCATATTTGCTGGGATGATAATGATATATTACATGGAAAACCTACCGGAGCTGTTAGAGTATCCTTTGGTTATATGTCAACCTTTGAAGAAGCAAGGGTAAATGTCTAATTTCATATCAAATACGTTGAAGACAATTTTCAAATGACAAATTGCTGTGTATGAGCTCTGCTATCCCTTTCTAAGAATTTGAATGAAAAAATTCAATGATTTGAGACTCTAGTGAGGTACTCCCCATTTGAATTGTAGAAATATGAGCAAATATTTATTTGATATATGGAAAGACAAATTTTGATTGGGCCGTTCTCATTTATTATCTGTTTTATGTATCATAAAAATGGTTGGTCTGAATTTTCACATTTACTGACACATATAAAGTTCTTGTCAAACTTAGCTCTTCCTCCTTTTTATTGTCGTCTCTATTGCGATGCAGAATCTTTGTAGACTATTAATTGATCTAGTTGTAGGGATAGAAACAACTTTGAATGTTAAATGAGAAAGCAGAAGTAGCTGTTTTTCTTTTTTCGTTTCTTTTTTCCCTCTCAAATTGTAGCTGTTTGTTTGTTTATCAAGATAACATTTGTTATGAGTTTAAAAGTCTTTTTGTTTCTTGACTTTCTTTGTTTTCCATTTTGTTAAGCAGAAATTTCTGAATTTCATAGAGAGATCCTTTGTGTTATCACTTTCTCATTCTCCTTTGAGAACAAAGTACATACACCTTCCGACTGAAGGTTATTTATTTATCTTCTATAAAAGTAGCTTTATTTGGACATTACAACAAAATCTGTTATGTTCATCATTGTTTTTCCCATTTTGCTTAACGTATGCAAGATTACCGAATTGCAGGTTTTGAAAGGGCACCTTCAAGATACTATCTTAGGTCAATTACAGTCTATCCAATAAAGTCGTGTGCTGGATTCAAAGTGGACAGTTGGCCTTTAAGCAGTACTGGTAGCCATTTGTAAGCTGAATAGTAGACAAGCCTTATGCTTAGCCAAATTTCATGTTTATGTTATCTGGTTCCTCAATAATACTCCAGTTTTGATCTCCTCATCTCAAACATAGAAAGGAAAACTAAGATTCATGGAAGGAATCGAGGCATTTACTTTAGAATTGATTTTAAATTGCAGTAACAAAACAAATGTAATAACCTCAACAGAAATGTCTGAATTACATCCAATTACAGAATGAGATCCTTGTAAATCTTGCCTCTTCTATTATTGTGAATTAGGTCACTTAAACAATCATACTGTGCACTGGTACCAAAATCCATCTTGCTCTTGTTAGGACCACAATTTGATGTTTGGCATGTTTGCAAGAAAAGTGGTGTGTTGTGCTTATTTTGAAACTTTTCCAATTAATACCCAAGTCTATCTTGAGTTAATTTTAGGTTAATCTGTGGCTTGAAATGTTCAAATTTTTAATGGAAGTTGGTAAAACATAAGAAATTTCCTGATAAGGGGGGAGATTATCTGTCAAGGTTCAGAAAGGAATTCTCAGACCTCACGTGGCATAGAGCATGAGGATTTCAGGGATACCTAGGGACTCTGGCATGACAGACACTCAATGGGTCATAATTGAGATAGATGTAGTTGCATGTTTGATCGACTCCCTTTTTTCTTTCGAATAGAGAGTCATATCAAAATAAAATGAGGACGAATTATATAGATGCCAGAATATGTGATCATTGCCCTGACATCAGGAGGGCAAGCTCCCTTACCAACATAATTCTCTTGCAGAAGGACCAGCTATGCAGCCCTTAAAGTATAGGTCTTACATTGCAGCTGCTGGAATACCAAGTTCTATACCCAGCTTTGCATCCCCTTGTAATATGCATTGCTTCCTTTCTTATGTATTATTGTGAGTGAATGAGGAGCAACTCTTGACTACACACTCATGCAAACTTGCAACAAATTTTTTTGAGAGTCTGGAACAAGCTGCTTAGAAAGTTTTGTGGACTTTTTAAACTTTTGGGAAACACTGTGTAATAAGAAATGTAAATGTGGAGGGAATGCCTAAGCTATTGGTTTTATATGATTGATTGAGGGGTTTCTAGCATAGTATCATGCTATTACAACTAAGGATGGTATTTTAGTGTGCTACAATCTAGTCTTGTTATAATCTGGATACCTTCAACACCTTGATTAGCCAAGCTGTCTTCAATAATTAATTCTTGTTTATCATTTTTTTTTTTGGTCTCAGATAAATAACTACCAGTATATGATCTCTTTGCGAAGACATAAATATTTACATGTTGATTTATCATTCTCCTCTATGTCTTAAGCTTTTTATATTTAAAGTACATGAGGGATAAATACAATGAACACCTTGATTAGCTAAGCTGTCTTGAGTAACTAATGCTCATGTGTGATTTGTTTTTGTCTCTGATACATAACTACTAGTATTTGATTTCTTTGCTAAGAGAAAATATTTATTAGTTAATTTATCATTCTTCTAGTTTATCCTAAGCTTGTTTAATTTTAGCATACACTAAACACTGATTACAAATCTTGTTCATCTACTCTATCCTGTAATAGTTTAGTAGTTTCTTGTATGTAACTATGGAGTAGCATATACTGCAAGCTTCTGAAGAGGGACCATTTACCAGTGCAAATTGTGAAAGGTGGTTTGTCAAGCTTGATAACACATGTTCAACTTTGGAAGTTGACACATACATGCTAACTAAATGTTTAGTTGCAGCCAGCTTTCCTTCCTAGCACCCTTGATTTAAAGGACCAAAAAGAGTTAATGACTTTTGTAAACACAGATATCCTCAAATTTTTAACTTTTCTTCCCCGGGAAAAAACATTAAAGTAAGGATCAAAATTTTATTTCGGTGCATCATTTCGATCATCTAGGAAACGAAAACGTTTTTGGAACATAATGAAAATGAGTAAAAAGTTTGGAAATTTATTTTTCAAATATTTCTAAAGAAACATAAATGTTTCGGTTGTTTTGAAATGAATATTTGATCCTTGCATAAAATTATCAATGGGAAAGATCCATGGTCCTAGCTAACTCAAGCACATCATATTCTTACAAAACCAAAACATTGTATGTTCGTGAAATACAGAAGTTCACCTAATGTTTTTCTGTTTACTAAGGTTGCCCTTCTTCAATGTTGTGAGGCATTAAAATGTCATTTCTTAGTTGAAGTTTTTTTTCCTTTCTTTTGGCTATTAAATTTTGGCAGGGCTGCTATACGATCGAGAATGGCTTCTCAAAAGTATGAGTGGTGAAATCCTTACCCAAAAGAAGGTGATGTCACATAATATATACATCACTGATTATACTACTTGTTGCACACATATATTGTACGGGAACCATTTTAAGCTATAATTTCAGTATCTATTTTAATTTTCAATCCATGAGTATATATATTATTTGTACATCTTATCTAACTAATATAATTCACTAATTTATCTTGATTAACTAAATCTATAGCATTTGTTGATATTAATATATATATAATTGATGCGAGCTTTAATCCCAAAGCATGCTAAACTTTTCATGAATAGCTCTTTTACTTTGTAAGTTTATGTGTGATCTAAGGAGGAATGAGCTGAAACCCCTTAAAGAGTTGCGATGATCCGGTTCATATATATAATTGATGCGAGCTTTAATCCCAAAGCATGCTAAACTTTTCATGAATAGCTCTTTTACTTTGTAAGTTTATGTGTAATCTAAGGAGGAATGAGCTGAAACCCCTTAAAGAGTTGCGATGATCCGATTCAACTAATTAAATCTGGTAGATCTTCATTTTGCAGTAATGATTTAGTTTCCCAATAGCTACAAACCTACATGTCAATTGGAGAGGAAATTTGTATCTATCTTATAGAAGAGTAGAAGATTCCAAAATGATAGGTAGAAGAACGAGCCAGTTATGTTTTTGGAAAAACCCTTGCTTGCTAATAACACAAATTTGTATCTAGTAAATAAAGGATTATTCACAAGTTTGATGTGGAGATTTAGTATTTGTCACTAATATGAGAATAAGTAATAAAACATACCACACAAGTAATTTTGTCCTAGATTACTTCGGCTAGTATGACAAAGAAATTCTCATAATTTATACAAATAGACTTGTTGATATTTGGGTGATAAACACAACCATAAATTTGGTCAAAGAACTAAATTTTGTTTCGAAATGTTCGAAATATTTCCGTTTCCTTAGAAACTGAAATCAATTAGTTACTGAATATCAAAATTCCTTTGTTTGAGGTGTTTTGGTATGTTTCGACATGTTGCGGTATATTTTGTTTAATGTTTTGGAAATAAATTTTCAATTTTTTCCTTTGTTTTTTAATCCTGTTTTCGAAACATTACCAAAACATTTCCTTTTCCAAACTTACTGGAACTCAAAATTTTGATCCTTGAATGTGAAGCAGTTGTATAATTATTTTGGGAAAATAATTTGTCCGAAAGTATTTAGATCTGTAGACCAGACCCATTTTGGAGGATGTAAGGGGGGCTTAAGCTTTTACCTAGATATAAGTATGACTTTTAAGCTTTAACTTCCTTGGCCTAGCTGCTTCATGAGAATTGTACATATGGGGTGATAGATTCTTCTAGTACACTGCACACCAACTTAAACTTCTACTTATGGAAAATTTCGAATGAATTTGTCTGGCTGGAAGTGTGCAATTCTGGTTTTGAAAGAAAGCCTCTCTTTTATAGTTAGTCCAAGCTATGTGATTAAAACAATGCGTCCCTATCCTTCCAATTTTTTGAGAGGGTTCGTGCATTAATGGGTGAAATATGTAGAGTACATGAAGTAGAAAAAGAAGATCTAATTAGAAAACAATACTATTAGAAACTGCAAAACTAACTCTTGGTTGACTAATTTCAGAACAACTTCCAAAAAGTTGCACAAAACATAATCTCTGATCCCTAACATTACTACTGTGGGGTGATTGACTGACTGGAGCTAGGAATCTGTAGACATAGACAATGGTGTCAACTATAGACACCTCCATTATCTGTTTCAAGTGATGTCCTATGATAAAATTGTTGAAATTATTTATCACATGGACATCCCAGTGCTTTTTGAGTCCCTGGTGACATTGTTTTATCTTTGCATGAATCGTTAGTTATGGGTATGTAGAACTGCAGTTATATGACATCTAGGTTCACCAACCACTTCATTTCCATATTCTAAATAGTTATGGGGAACATACCCTTTTTTGAGCTTACTAACTTAGTATGACTGTATCGTTGACACGTGCACAAAACAAAGGCAAATGAAGCTGGCTGTTCTGCTGGGTCATGCAATCCAGTAGCTTGTGGCTACTTGTTACTGTTTTGCTGTAGGCGCAATTTCAAGTGCACCAACAATTTGTAGATAGTAGTTGGAAAGATTAAAAATTGGTACCATTTGTTCGTGTATGTGAAATGCCATATTATGGTTTGCCTATCAATCGAAGAATTGCATTTCAGTTGGTCAAGCTTAAACGCATATTGGTTGTTAACAGAACAGGCTCCACTTGTACATATATTACATGGGAATATTGAATTCTTTTTTATATATATAACATCAAGTTCTAAATCATTTGTATGTGTTATTGCAGATTCCAGAAATGTGCTATATTAGTACATTGATCGACCTCAATTTGGGAATTCTCTTTGTAGAGTCACCTCGTTGCAAAGAGAAACTGCAGATTAGTCTCAATTCTGATTTATTTATGTCCGCAAGAGATGGAATGGATCTGCATGTTGACAGGTGAGGTTAAATACTTGTGTTCTTCTTATTTGTAGTAGTTCTCTCTTTGTATCTGGCCCTCAGTTTCTTCACAGACTCTGCAGTCTGCACCACAAAAACATTGTGTGGCAGACACAAATGACATGGATGGACTCATTGCACATGCCCGAAATAGCTTCTACAAGGCCTGTGCCAGTGGATTTTCAGAGCTCATACCCTTGGAATAGTTAGCAATAGTGTGACCATTAGCTCTAGTCGATTAATTTGGATCTGCAATAGTTCTTTGTACCCATGGCGCCATTATATAGAACTCCAATGTTGACATGCTTATAATATATTTTTCTATATTTGCTTTATTTTTCAAATAGTTCAGACAAATGACTTCTTAATGAACAAGTTATTCTCATATGACCTTATGCATATGCGAATGAGTTGACCACAAGAAGTTGGGCTAGGCACTAGATGTCTCCAGTCTTCCTTGGAAGTAAATCTTAGTTCTTAGTAGTTCCTAGCTCTTTATATTTTTTTTCTATTAGCCTAATGATTTGCCTATAATTCTGGGCAGCATACCTGATCATAAAGTCTCTTTTTTGTCCTGCTACAAAATTGAGGTATATTTTACTGAATCGATCTTGAATTTGATAATGAAATATATTTTAGTGAACCAATCTTGGATTTGATAAAGGCATTCCTTTTCCTCTCGAGTTGCTAACATTGGATCTCCTTATTTTAAAGTTAATTTAAAAAGGTAAAAGTTGATAAAAATCACCTCCATAATAATATGGCATTCATTCATTAAAAGTGAGTCTGGCATATTATAAATGTACTTGTCAAAACTGTTCAAAGTTCTACCCAACTTTGTCGTTGCATTTGGAATTCTGTATTGCTTTATTCTAATATTGCTGAATAGATATGAAGTCCAGGGTTATGATAATGAAGTCAACATGTGGTTTAGCAATGCTGTTGGTCGGCCTTGCACTTTGTTAAGAGGTTCTGGGTCCACATGCTATTTCTGCTTGAACAGTAAGAGAGGTGTAGGGATGTGCAGAGATGTCAAGACCAGATTGAATTTTGTCAATGAAGCTCAGTTTTTGCTGATAACCGAGGAAAGTGTGTCTGACCTCAACAATAGATTATACTCAAGTATGTTTGAGATAGTAGCTTTCTTTGACTTTTAACTCAGTAAATCCGTACCCTTCTTCTTGAGAACTTATCTCTAGATGAGTTTATTAAGTTTTCAATGTCTTATGATTTCTGTTTGAAAAACTAATGTGGAATCATTAGTTTTTCACATTTGTTCTATATGAAAACCAAATGTCTTATGCTTTATGTTCTCACTGATAGTGTGTTGAATAAACCCACTGAATGGATTGGTCGAGTGCATGCTTTTAAATCCCATGGAAATAGAACACTATGGACCGTGCATAGAGAATTGATAGATGATTTTCCATGGAACAACCAAATACATTTTTTTTTTTTTTGAATTCTCGACATTCTGAAACACAACTTGTCTACATCACATATCCTGTTGTCCACTCAAGCCTAATTATTCCCCCTTCTAGCTGGCATTGTTATTGCATATTTGTTAAACATGCAGCTGGCCATCATTTGTTCTTTGACTTTATCTCAGCTCTGATCTTCAACTGAGTTTCCTATCTATTTAAAAATAAAAGTTCATTGACCAATCTGGTCATATAAATGAGGGTGCTTGGTGTGGTGGACTAGGTACAAACTTAATCTTTTGTGTCATTTGCACAAATTGATGGTCCCCCATGTTTCAAGTTGCAATCTCACAGTTGGTGACCTGAAATTTTATAATGGGAGTTATTACAGTATTATATTCTTGTTTAAATTGTATTTATGAAATTACTAGTTGATAAATGATTTCAGCAATCTAATTTGGTTTGATGTAGACTCTTTTGTTAGTTTGACAAAGTGTGAATTTTGACAACTTATGTCAACCATATTTTGTTGGTTGCAGATCTCCCGAGAGACTCCCATGGACCGCCAATTCAAGTTAATTCAATGAGATTCCGTCCCAACCTTGTCATTTCTGGTGGCGAACCTTATGCAGAAGATGGATGGGGAATTCTTAGAATTGGAAACAACAATTTCACTGTAAGTTCCAGCCTCCTAGGACCTTGGAGTAGGGAGTGTTAATTGGAAAATACTGAAGACCTGCATTGTACGAAGTTACAGTTAACAGATTACAACTTCCATCATACTGCACTAATATTTGTATCATGATAATGCCGTTGGTTTTCCAGAAATTCACATTAGATCAGGTTTGGGATAGGGATAATCTAATAGTTTGCTTTTTTCCACCTTCTTCTAAGAGAGTTTATCCACCCAACGAACAAAAAGCATAATACAAAATTATGGCGATGTTTGCTATTTTCATGAAGCAGATAAATGCCTAGTGACATTTTTTCCTTAGGCATGATGAAGACTCTCTCCCTCTCTCTCTCTCTCTGATCTATTTGTGCCTTCGTTCTTTGCAGTCATTGGGTGGTTGCAACCGTTGCCAGATGATCAATTTGATACCTCAAGGGGGAGAGGTGCGGAAAGCAAACGAGCCTTTGGCTACTTTAGCAGCTTACAGGAGAACTAAGGTCAGCCCAAAATAATCATACACATCCTTTCATGCTTTTGTTGGTTTGTCTTGTTTGATTCTTAGAGTCAAAATATAATTTCAATGGAAACAGGGGAAAATACTTTTTGGGATTCTTCTGAGATATGAGGATGGCAATTCAGTTGGGCAGGACACAAATTCATGGCTTCAGGTGGGACAAGAAGTATATCCAGATGCAGATTAGTTTTGAGGATATTCTTATAATTGCCTTCTTGAAATGTGATAAGAAACCAAACAAGGATAGACAATATTACAGTCATGCAGAGGAAGGGAGAAATAAAGCACGACTACTGTAGAAAACAAACATCTTAGTAATGAAACCTCCTTAGAGAGTGGGCTGCACTTCCCGCATGGTGACATAGAAGAGCGCTAGGAGCCGTGAAATAGATGAATGAATCATAGTTGAATATGTAACTTAGCTTCTATGAGCTTCTGTGATCTGTATAAAGTGGTAACTTAGCTTCTATGAGCTTCTGTGATCTGTATAAAGTGATTTTCCAAAGTGGCCTTTAAATTATAATTTGGATGCTTGGTCCCTGTAAAATTCATCTGAGACATTTAGAGGGTTTTTGTTTGTATTCTTCACATAGCAGTTGTATACATGCCTTCCAATCCGCACTCTGATGATACGTTAGCATTTTAGTGTCTGTTTCACTGTGTAAACTTCTTATTAAAATCCTTTTGTGTGCTATATGTCATACATTTAGTGCAAGTACTACGTTTCTTCCTAATTGCTATGTTAGTGAGAACCATGATGCAAGAAACATTCCCTCTCTAAGTTTGCTTAGGGTGCGTTTGATAATGTTTTTGTAATTTTTATGATAAAAATTAAAAATATAAAACATGTTTGGTAGTTATTTATATTTAAAAAATTATGAAAACAAAAATATAAAATATATTTGGTATTATAATAGTGTCAGTCCACCTCCGTTGATACACCAACCCCAACCCATAAGAGCTGAAGATGAAGAAGAAAAACCACTGATACGCCAATGATTACACCACCACCACTTTTCTATGGAGATGAAGAAAAATTCCTAGATCTATAAAAAAAAAATCTAAATCTTAAAAAAATAGAAGGGTGAGCATCACCGATTGAGAAGATGGTAGGGTAAGTGTCGAATAAAGTGAAGAGTTTCATTGGAGAGAGCTTCGCCAGAAAGAGGCGAAGCCGGAGCTTCACAGATTGGGATCCCAGCTTCGCCACAGTTTCAAACCCACAGACGCAAGAGAGAGAGAGAGATCGCTTTATTTTTGCTTTATATAGGTGCCACAAAAATGTCTTATTTTTTGTTTCTAATGAAAGACGGAAGTTGAATCTCATTAAAAGTCTCTCAGCCCCGCGTGCTTTCGTTTTTCTATATTTTCAAAAATATCATTTTCCTTGTTTTCAATATTCACCATTATTTTCAAAACAACTTAACTAAAAAAAAACAAAAACATAAACCAAATGTATTATTTTTTTTTTAATTTTAACAAAAATTAAAAATAAAAGCATTGAGTTGTCAAATACTACCTTAGTTAACAAGAATGTGCTTTTACCTTATTGATACTAAAAATAAGAAGTGAGGGCTGTGTATAGATTGGTTTGTATGAACAGTTGGACTTACTAAACCTTTTGTAGAAAAGTCTTGATTCACATTTTCATTTCTCACAGGCAATGCTTGAAAATGGGCATGAGAGTTTTGTAGTTTTGTTTGTCAAATGAAGCAGGTACGGCGGAAGCTGGCTGCATAGTTTTCACATGCATAAACTTCAGAACCACTTGTCTCTAACAAAAGCACACACACATTAGCCTATAATAACCACTTAATTTCTTGTCTCTTGACCAAAGACTTTGACTTTTTCTGTTCATGGGTCATTTGATCATTGTTGACTCCAAAAATCTGTTGTACCCGTCGATCTTAGGAGAATTTGGCATTTTTTTTTTCAATTGCTTACGCAAGTACTTACGCGTGATTTTAAGGCTGATTACAGAATTTTGATATATTTTTTTTTTGATTTTTTATTCTGAGAAATGAAATTTATTTTTGAGTTAAGTTTGATTTGATTGCGCTTATATTTTTTTCGAGTTAAAAATTAAATTTGACATATGAGTTTGGCTCGAGTTTGATTTAATTACATAGGACAAGTAATTGGGCCGAGTTACTTGAGTTTGAATTTGATTCGTATAGAACCCGGACCCGAGCTTACCAAATTTATCTTATTTATATGTAAAATAATTGAGTTACTCAAACTCATCTCGTTAAACTTGAATAATTTTGAAGATCGATTAAAAAAATCGAACTCAATAAATTCAGTTTGAGTTCGCAAAATTTGACTCGATTATTAGTCTTATAACTAAAAATGACTTGATCTTTGACGTATACTCAAATACGATAAACACAATAAGATTAACAATTTTTCTCCAAGCACGTGATACAGTTCACATTTCTTCTTATCATAGTCATATATGGCTCCCTTGTCTAATATTTTCAATCACTTCTCCACTTTACTTGATTTGACACGAAATGTAAGAAGTAAAAAATATATCCTAGTTATGCTTCTAATTTCTTCTTGCTCTAGAAGCAATCGTAATCCACCTTATTATATATATGTATATATATTTCACTTGCAACCAAGTCTTATATGACAACAAAATTGAACAAACAAATTCAAAGAAAAGAAAACAAAACAGAAGACCACATTGATTATGTCATATTGACCACCCAAATCAAAGTAAAAACCAAAAAGAAAGTTGGAAGAAGTCCATTGATCAACCCTATTTTCTAATCAAATAATTATTTTTAAATTAAGAAAGTTGACACTCTTACGAATATTAAGGTTATATACACTTAATCACCTCTAAACCACATAGTACGGTTAACTTATTTTTTTTTGTGGGGTAGGGGGGTAAATAACTTTGATACATGCACACTTTGATGGATGATTTCAAAGTTGTCAAATTTGGTATACACATCCCTATGTTGCGCATAAATAAGAAGCAGTTCGGGTTAAATTGATTGTCAACATCGGTTGTGGGTGCTCACCTTGCGCAGTCTTCGGGTCAACGTAGTTAATTGTCAAAGACTTGGACCCACTGTTTTAAATTTTGTTCTTTCTAGAAATATATCACTTCGTATATATTTCAGCAAATTTATTAATTTTTTTTTTTTAATAGTTAAGGGTGTCTGAATCATTTTACGCATACTTCGACTAATTCTCTTTCCTGTCCAATTAAAGATAGTTCATCTATGCTAGAATTAAGATATTCATAAGAGATAAATTTCTCATAGCCTAATCCTAAAAAATTGCTAAAACTTAAACTCAGGACGTCTCAATTTATACTTAAAGTAATCCCCCGTGCAATAATTTATTAGTGTTTTCTGAACATGTTTAAAATTACCGGCCTCTAACTTGGTCCTTAAACATTAAAAATGTCTAACTAGATAATCTCACGCTTAACGTCAACTTGACATATGTTGACTTCTTATGAGACAATTTAGAGGGATACAAAACCTATACAAGGCATTGCAAAGCTGAACTGATGATTTGACTCCCTCCATTTGCATATAATAGGTGTCATATAGACTTATTTAAGTGCTAAACTATTTTTTTTAGTATGGTGTTTAAATTTGTATCGACTATTCCTTTGAACTTTAAAGTGACCATTGTAACTCGAGTCAATTTTAGAATAAAGGTGACTGACTTTTAAGAGGTGTGAGAAGTATCGAACCTGAAATTTCTTATTTACAAGAAGACAAAGTTAACCATCCTAAAAGTTATTTGAAATTTATTTAAATAGTTGGTTTTAAACATTACTTTTCTTATTTGAAGCGCCTATGAAAAATCATAAGTTTTAAAGCTGTTATTTTTAAGTCATTTGAACGCTACTTAAGGAGGATTCACTGGTGACATAATGTCCAATCACCCCACCGTTGGATCTAAAGAGACAAGGGTTTGAATTTCACTTATCCCCTTCTCATGTAAACGTCGATCAAAAAAAAATCTAAGAAAAAATGTCACTGAGGACCAGTTTAGAACATTAGCCTTGAGTTCTTTTATCTTAATTGCAAGAGTTCAATCGTTACTCTTGATTGATGAGTAATTTTATGCATACAAAATTTACCTAGTAACTTGATTGGACCTCGATACCAAGAAGAAAAAAAACACAAAACGACAGCAGGGCCACCTTGTGCAAATTGCCGAAGCAATGGATTCTAGGATCCTCCTTAAGAGGGCCCTCACGTTGGGTTCTTGTACAGGTCGTAGCCAATCAATCACCGGTGACAAAAGATCTAGAAGTAACCAAACATTCAAAGCTGAGATAGTCAAACGTGTCGCCCTGGATGGAAGGAAAGACATGGTCAGATTATTGTTGACATCTTCCTTCCTTTCATTCTAATTGGAGTGGAGGTGACAAATGTCTTGTGATCATTAAAATTTTTTTATCAGATTTTGAACTATACGAGGTTACCAAAAATTTGTTGTACTTACTGATTCAATAATTTTTATTGGTTTAATATAAAAAATTTAATGCATGTAGTATTGTTAGTAAGATATAACAATAATACTGTCGAAAAATTATTTTTTTTTTTGTATCATAATATTTTTCTCCATTGAAAATGGCACATGCAAAAAAAAAAAAAATTTGAACTTTATTTTATATTTTTATTATTTTTAAAATCAATGACTAGAATTTTTAGACGTGGTATTTTTTCTTTTTGGGTTGTCATTGTGCTATCCTGTCCCTGTTAGTGAGATAATATACCAGCAGGATTTGGTCAGATCAAGCTGCGCCTTCTGGAAGGGCTTGTTTTGATATGGTCATACACATTCGACAAGACACTTGTTGCATATATGGTACTAGAAAGTAGAAATTATTCGTGCTTAAAACTACCCTTTATTATAAAAACAAAATTAATAATTAAAAAAATACCATCTACCAAAAATTTAGTTTTCCTTATAATTTTACAATCAAATCCTATTTGAGAAAATACTTATGCCCCGTTTAGTAGAAATGATAGAAAATATGAGGGATATATTTTTTATCCTTTGAGGAAGACTTTCATTCATTTGTGTTTAGTTAGATGGATGAAAAATAAATGACTAATTTTTTATTTTTTTTTGTACCGACTAAGATTAGAGGTGACAATCGAATTATGTCGTGTCAGATTCGTGTTGAGTCATTACAGGTTTGTGTCGAATATTAGTCAAACTTACCTCAACTCATTTAACTAATTGTGTCGTGTCGAGTTACGAGTTGACCATTTTATTTTCGTGTCGTATTCGTATTCATATTGACCCACATAAACTTTAAATAAAAATTTAACGCTAATATTTAATTTTCACTTAATTGAATCCATGTCAATATTTTTTCTACAAACTAAAAATTAACTTAAATATATATAATAATAATAAGTAAAAATAT